ACAAACCCAGACTACCAACACAGGAACAACAACTTCACTCTAACCCACATGCCCCACGGTATGGAGATACCTTAATAGAAGCAGCTGAAAAGTTTATTTGCTCTATTTGCAACAAAGGGTTGAGGGACTCTACAAATTATAGATATCATATGCGGATCCATACAGGAGAAAAACCATATACATGTGAATTGTGTCTTAAATCATTTAGACAGCCACAGCATTTAAAAGTACACAGACTCAAGGTTCACAAGATAACACAGAATGTACCTTAATGGACTGGTTGATATTTCTAGGCAAGAAAAGACAAAAACATTGTCATTTTCCAAAGTCAATCAAGTATCTTACAAAACAAATTTATTTGAAATAATTATTCACTCACACATAAGAGGGATATTAAAAAAATTGTTGAATTGCACCATTGCAAATAGTGAGAATGTTGGAGAATACATAAAGTGAGTTATGAAATTAATGTGCATTTGTTGAAATAATGACTTGGAGATGTGATCAAAAAATTGATGAATTGCACCATGGCAAAAAAGTGAGAAAGTTGGAGAAATATCAAGTGTATTATAAAACTAATGTGTATTTGAAATTATTTACTCACTCAAAAGAGAGGTGAAAAAAAATTGTGAATTGCACCATAATGTGTATTTTAAATCATTGTATGTGCTCATGCATACATGCCTAGTCATTGACAACTTACTGACAACAATAGACAAAAAATATTGTTGTACGTTTTAGCTACTTTGTCATTTCTGCTTTGTTGGATAGCAATTTCCTTGGAGGTATTGAAGTGGAAAATAGCACTGATTTTGTCAATATTGAGTCAGATCACCACTGAGTGGTTGCTCTATTCTTTCCATTATTAAGATTCAAACATGCATATTTTTTTCAAATGGTCTTCAGTAACTTCATTACCTTCTCAAATATATGTACTCAACCTATCAGTGATCTCCAGTTTTTGATTGAATTTTGCAATATCCTTTAAATACAAAATGACCGCCTTTCATTTTGGATCTACATTAAACATATTGCTATTTAATATTGATGCGCTGAGTACTCCTAGTATACCTAATGGACAGGTTGATCATTAACTACTAGAAATGCTGAAAAAGTTCTGCTTATACATCTGTTCCATTCAGTGATTATTTGACTCACTTATGATAACAATATTTTCAGGTTTGTATTCGGAGCAAGGAATTGACAATTTGTATACATATGGACAACATTCAACTCCTGTCAAAGACCCTATGAATGCATACAGCCCGAGGCCACCGACACATGGACATCAACTTCACTCTAACCCACATGTCCAACAATATGGGGATACCTCAATAGAAGCAGCTGAAAAGTTTATTTGCTCTATTTGCAACAAAGGATTGAAAGACTCTACAAATTATAGATATCATATGCGGATCCATACAGGAGAAAAACCATATAAATGTGAATTGTGTCTGAAATCATTTAGACAACCGCAGCAGTTGAAAGTACACAGGCTTAAGGTTCACAAGATAACACAGAACGTACCTTAATGGACTAAGGTTATTGATTATATAGCCCAAGAAAAGACAAAGACATTGTCATTTTCCAAAATAAACCAAGAGTTTGCCTTAATGGACTGGTTGATATTATTTAGCCAAGAAAAGAATGAATGAACAAACAATTGTTAGATAATCATTTTGGAGAGTTAGGTAAATAGAGTTTGTCAAAATGCAAGCATAGGTTGACAAGTGAAGAAATGAAAGACTATAAAACAAGCTTTTTAATTTTTTTAATCATAAAGAATATTTATTTCCAAAATTATCTATTATATTTCCATCATTATCACAGCATAATTACGGCAAACTTTTTTTAATTAAATAAGAGCTCTTTATACCCCTCTTTAACATCTACTATATATATAAGTTAGTGACACATGGTACTTTATTAAAATTGTATTAGACTTTGTTAACGTATACATAAAAATATTGGTCGCGACTTGTTGAACAATAAATATAACTATCCAAATTTGTATTATGTTTGAAATAATTCCAAAGTTACACAAATTCTGCCGACTGCTCGACATGTCTTATGGATGCCTGACAAAACATCTAGGATTTTATAATACTACACTACTCAAAAAACTTCCAGGAAAACATCTAGGATTTCAATAATTGACATGCATCTTTGTTTACTTTTAGAGTTTCGGCATCATAGCCCTAGTAATGCCCATCTGGAAAATCAAAAGTCGCCTCAGGATCCTAGAGACTCGCCATATTATTGCAGAATATGCTGCAGAGATTACCATTATCGATCACACTATGAACGTCACATGACCAAACATACGGGAGAGAGGTCATTCCAATGTCAGCTTTGTCTTAAGTCATTTAAAAGAAGGGACCATTTGGAGATTCACTGGAAAACACATAGCAGAAAATAAAATGTATATAGTAAAACCTATAAATTGAACCACCTCTTTAAGTGAAACATCTTTGTAAGTGAAACACCTTTGTAAATGGAATGCCTCTATAAATGGAACACCTCTGTAAGTTCATCATCTCCATAAGTGGAATGCTTTTAGAAGTCCTGCTACTTATTGACTTATTGTTAATAGGACCAGGGCTTGCATTAACGGCGTCCCGTACATGTTAAGGACTCAAAAATAATTTGGAGGATGCAAAAATTGAAAATATTTCCGTTTTTTGGATGCAAATTTTTTTAGGTCAATACTACAATGTGTTTACAATGATACCTAACAAAAACAAATAATTATGATCTCTGACCTTTATTTGAATCGTAAATAAGGCTCAACATGTTGAATATTTACAAATAATCATGATTCTCTCGAATTTTTTCGACTTTGTTTATTTTTAGATTTGAAACTATGACACGTCACAGTTTTTCCTATTCAGAAACAAATATTAGGTTATTCATGAAATAAAATGTATTCATTGTCGAATGAACAAACATGCATTTATTCAGTCCGTACTTAACGTTTACTTCCGTTTTAAATTCGCGGCAAGAAATCAAAAACTGAAAATATGACAAGTGAGGTTAGAACATACATTCCCGAATGGGAAACCGAGTTTGATATAGGGAAAAATAGGGAGAAATAGGGGACACACTTTTTTTTCAAAGGACACACTCAAAAACTGAAAATATGACAAGTAAGGTTAGAACATACATTCCCGAATGGGAAACAGAGTTCGATATAGGGAAAAATAGGGAGAAATAGGGGACACACTTTTTTCAAAGGACACACTTTTTAAAAAAAAATTGCGTCCTTGGGACTCACAAATTTTCTAACCTAATGCAAGCGCTGAGAACCTTTATAATTGAAGTACACTTAGGAGTGCCATATGTTGTGCTTGTATGTTGAATTGTATCTTAATGTGTAGGTACCACATACAAAAATTCTGACTGACTGGGACGTTAGCTGATTTTTCATATTGTCATCATATTTTTAAGCCCATTTTGTGTAGTAGAGTAGAGTATAAAATAGAGATGTCAATAAGAATAGGCCACTTAATAAGTTATTTGTACACTTTGGTCAAAGAAAACTCATAGTACTCATCTCTATTTTTCAGGGCAGGCTTTCTTCAATTATCCCAATAAAGGAGTCCATTTAAGACCTGATGGACAAGACAATAGACAACCAAAGTTTTTATGCAGTATTTGTCAAATGGGATTCATCCATCAGTCTAAGTACAATCGCCATATGCGAATACACAGTGGGGACAAACCATTTCAATGTGAATTGTGCCTGAAAAAGTTTACGAGAAATGATAATTTACTCATACACAAAAGAGGTGTGCATAAAATTGGTGAATTGCACCATCGCAATAAGTGAGAATGTTGGAGAATACATAATATGTGTATTGTAAAACAAATGTTGGAAAATACATAATACGTGTATTGTAAAACTAATATTGGAGAATACATAATATGTGTATTGTAAAACTAAAGTTTATTTGAAATAATTATTTACTCACCCATGAGAGAAGTGCTTATAAAATTGGTAAATCACAAAAAGTCAGAATGTTGGAGATTTCATCCAGTGTAATATAACTAATGTGTATGTGAAATAATTATTTACTCATAATATCAAAAATTGGTTAATTGCGCCATCGGAAAAGTGAGAATGACAATGTACAGTGACAATAGAAATAAAAAATATTTGATGATACCATTATAATAATAATAGATATATAAATAAATTCACTATCAAATTTGTTCTGTCAATTCATAAAATTTCCCATGCAGACCCATACTTCAGAACTACCAGACTAAGATGCAAAAGTGGCTCCCTTAATACATGGCATTTAAATCTACTACACAATAAGTAAAGTAAGAAATTTGAAATAAATTATGCTTTTCATTTTCATTTTCAAGTTTTAAAATACATATCCACACCCATAGTGAGACAGCTTACTAAAGCGAGTTATTTTCTGCTTTGGGAAAATAGAAAAAGAACATTTTTTGTGAGTTCAAGTTTGTTTTGCCCCTTTGCTCGCAATTTTCCTTATAAGCATTTCAATTTCCAATGTGACTTTATAGCAGGTTACTGCATACAGGAAGCTTATATTACATGTATGTTCAATACACAACATTTAGGACAATGTATTTTAAACAATATTATGAAGAGGAGGGAAAACCCCATGATTCAATTGATGACATACGATTTCCTCCTTCGTGCACCTCCTTTTGTCGAAAACGTACCCTCCATCTTGGTTTTAAAAGTTTTCAAATTGACCTAGTTTTAAACCAATCAACGATCGACTCGCTAAACCAATCAGCGACAATGTCATCTCAATACAGATTTACATTATAAGCGTATGTCATCTTTGAACCCTGGGGTCTCTCCCCCTCTTAATATTATGTTTACTTTTGTGGGTTCCTTATTGTGTATGTGCCTTGATATTGAGTATATCTTGATACTGTGTATATTTTGATATAGTGCAACCTAATAGACATGATTCCAACATTAAACAAATAAGGAAATTGAAATTGATTACTTTCAGTATCAAGAAAAGAAACGGATGACAAAAGTACTAGAGCATCGGCTGGCACTAAAAATCCAGGAAAGCGCGTATGTTTTATTTTTATTGTTTTTCAATGTAAATTTTAAAAAAATTCAAGTAATTTTAATATTTCAAAACTGTCCCAATGTAATATCTGCCTCCTACAGTTAATTTCATCACCAAAAGTATTAAGACCATGATTTCAAATCAAGAATCAGAATCGTAACGTAAAACCATGGAACTGAGAGAGTTTACAAGGATTCGACCACCCGTCTAAACATTTTTACAATTTTGAGCACTGTTCAAGGAATTTTTTGGCCAAAAACTAAATTAAATTCAACCCACTTGAGATTATTTAAAAAAAATGCTTCCTAGCTACTTATCTTAAACTATAGACTCAAGATCTACATAGTTTAAGCTATGTTTAAATAAAAAGTATTATATTATTTCCAGGTCCGACTGCAAAACAAATCTCATGAATGTAAAGAATGCTTTATGAGATTTGGTCAACGATCCACATTGAAAAATCACCAGCGCTCAAAGCACGGCTACGAACCTGTCCATAAGTGTAAAACATGCGGTGATTTGTTTAACAGTCGACAGGCTTTGTCTTATCACAAAGATAAACATTTATGGGAAGAGAAAAAAACTGCTCACATATGCTCTTTCTGTCAGAAAACGTTTAGTTCAAAAAGGTATTTAACAGAGCATATCGAAGGGAAACATGCTGGAAGGGTCCATGTATGTCCTGTGTGTGGAAAACGTTTTAGATGGCGGTCATCAATCAAAGTTCACATTAGTACACATAATAAAAGCAAATAAAGCAGCATGAAGGACATCTTGATCTATCATACCTTGAATATAATATGTTATCTTTTGAACTGTAATGCCTTGGTCACATTTGCTCCGATCCATCGGCCAGCGCCTGGACGATTGAGTGTTTTGCTCAATATTGTATTCAATTTTGAACAAAATATTCAATCGGCTGGGCGCCGTAGTGAAAATCTGAGAAATGTGACCAAGGCATTAATAAATGATTTTCTTTACAATCCTTGCAATTTCATGGCCACTCAATGAATTTATTAGCTTAGATCTGATCAGTACCTGTAGACAAACTCATTTACTGGCCACTTAAATTGAAGGCAGTGACTTTCAAAGTTTTGGCACATTTTAATGTCTCTAATATGACCAACAATGCCAGTTAGTCCTGCGGAATCGATGGAGCTGGTTGCTTTCTAGGATGTATACTATGTCTTTGTATTTTCTTCATCTATATGTAATTGACATTCAAAGTCAGAACTGTGCCGGTTTGGCACTGGTGGGCAAATCTTTTTACAGCCTTGTAAAGGTGGCGCCCCTTATGAAATACCCCTTTAATTAAGGAATGTATGACTGAAGGAAATTTACATTTTGGATTGTTGAATAAATGGACATCATATACTTATTACATGATAATGGTGACCAGAACCACATTTGGATCATTTGTTTTCTTTAGAATGACTGATATCTACTTAGTGTTTGTTCGATTAAAAACTGTATTTGTATGAGTAACATTATATTTGATATTGTTAATACAATGAAGATTTTTTTTCTATTGTAATGTGTTTGTGCTTGATAAGATTTTTATGCTAAATAAATTTGTGATAGTTTCCATTTGTGTATTAGTTCAAATGATGTAATCAATTGAAATGGAAATATAAAAATCTGCAACATCCAAGTTAAAAAGTGACAATCATTATCTTTGACTAGTTAGTGTTAATAAATCTTTCTATGAACTTGAGAGATGTCCATAAAATTGGTGAATTGCACCATTGCAAAATGTGAGAATGATGGAGAATACACCAAGGGCATTATAAACTGTGTATTCGAAATAATTATTTACTCATGCTTAGATTAAGAGGGATGTTCATAAATTGATGAATCACTTCACTGGAATAAGTGATAATGTTGGAGATTTCATCTGAATAAAGAACTTACTGTACATGTATGTATATTTGATTCTCACATATAAGATCATGCTTGTGGAATAAGATGATGTTAAAACTAGACACCAGTATGTAATTCTTAACAATATTAGGATAACTTGACACCAGTATGTAATTCTTAACAACATAGAATAAAGTGCATGTAAGAACATTTCGTTTGTAAACTTTATATTCATTTTATCTTTGTAAATAAATTCATAAAGGAATGATGATACGAGGCCCGATCAGAAAGTAAGTAACCAACTGCTCTCATTTTTTTCATACTTCATTCAATCAGATTGAAATTTTCATAGATGATGTAGAAAACATTAAACTATTAAACAAGACCAAGGAAAATGGGTTAGCGTCAATGCCATTGTTATAGATGTTGCTATGGTGATGATTGTTTTGGGTAGGTGGGGCACCCTTTTGTAAGCAGCTTTGGAAGATGATTTGTAGAGTTTTTTACATGTTGTATTCCTCCAAATGACCTAACAATTTTTTATACAAGACTAAATAATTTGTTTTATGTATTATCACAATGATAACTACGCTCCATTTTCCCATTTATAAGTCATTGACACAAAGAAATCAAGGGTATATCTGTCACAATGATGGTCATGATTCGGTCGCAGTTTCAATCCAGTCAAATGTTGCTGAGGGGAATTTTACTGGCATGACGTCAATGGTCCACCTCCACAGAGCCAACATTACTGAAGATAGATACAGTAGATTAAGCCTTTTCCATGGTCACACAACTACCCCAGGCTCATTATTCCCCAGACCTGGCCCCATGTGACTAAATTCTTTCCAGATGCAAAGATGTTGTTACGGAGAGTCCGTTTGGACAGCAATGAAGCCATCATTTAAGCTTTCAATGGTAGTTCTGCAGTCATTGAATGGTGTCATGTTGCACTTCTTTAAGGACAGGGTGAAACATTGTCTCAACTGCATTGACCTTGGTGGCGATTTAGTTTGAAGGAATATGAGTTAAAATGTAATCTTACATGTGAATTTGATATATTTGGAGGTATTACAACATGTAGAAAAACTCTTCAAATTATCTTCAAACGCGACTTAAAACAGGGTGCCCCACCTACCCAAACAATTGTCACCATAGCAACAGCAATAACAATGGAATTGACGTTAACCGATTGTCCTTGGTCTTGTTTAATAGGTTAATATTTTCTACATCATCTGTGAAAATTTCAATGTGATTGAATAAAGTATGAAGAAATAAGAGCAGTTGGTTACTTACTTTCTGATCGGGCCTCGTAGATAAATAATTTGAGATGTTGTGTTATTGGCTGTAGAGATATGTGCTTTATTTTAATTGGTTAAAGAGATAAAGTGTTGCATTCTGATAGGTCAAAAACACAATTTGCTGTATTCTAATTGGCCATAAAAGGTGCTTTACTTTCATTGGTTAAGAGATAAAGTGCTGCACTTTTATTGGTCAAAAACATAATTTGCTGTATTCTAATTGGCTATAAAAGGTGCTTTACTTTCATTGGTTAAGAGATAAAGTGCTGCACTCTTATTGGTCAAAACATAATTTGCTGTATTCTAATTGGCTATAAAAGGTGCTTTACTTTCATTGGTTAAGAGATTAAGTGCTCCATTCTGATTGGTCAAAAACATAATTTGCTGTATATTAATTGGCTATAAAAGGTGCTTTACTTTTATTGGTTAAGAGATAAAGTGCTGCACTCTTATTGGTCATAAACATTATGTGCTGTATTCTAATTGGCCATAGAAAGATACCAATAATGTTGCATTGGTTATGAAATCTGACATCCTGTTTTTATGTCACCAACACAAGTGGTGATATATTGTAGTCTAACTTTTTTTGTGGATGGTGTTCAGTGGAAGTTGTTCATCATCTGGTGGTTGCTGTTGGTAGGTGGTGATATTTTGCATGTTAATGCCTCATTCAAATAGCTGTAAAATGCTTACTTTTGGAATTTTTATTGCTTGGATTAAATAAATTCAGAATTCCCTTGAAGAGCCATCCCACCCTACCCTCTGACTAAGTAAATTCTGGATTTTGCCAAGTTCCGAGTGCAAACAACTACACTGAAATGTTCCAAGAAACACCTCCAAAATCTGTGAAATTGAGTATTAAGTATAAGTCTATTTTTTTCAGGTGAGATTCATTAATCATTAACATCCCTCAGAAAAATGAAGTAATGGAATATCTCTAATCTTTATTTTCAGATGAAACTTTCCCTAACATTCCATACATCCCTTATTTGCCTCAATCCAGCTCTGCAGGAGTCACCAGTATGGATCCTGTATACCTCCAAGGGCAAACAATACACACTGGTGCAAACTCGATCACCTTTGAGAATAAATACACTGGAGAGACAATTATCCCTGAAACAAGGACACATACTGGAGAGATAATATGTGATTACTGTAGTAAAACATTTGTGCGGACCCAGGATAAGCAGAGACATATGAGAATCCATACTGGAGAGAAACCATTCCAATGTAGCCTGTGTTTAAAGAAGTTCCGGCAGACTGCACACCTGAGAGGCCACATGAAGAATGTTCATAAAATGTGCGTTTAAATTTCTACCATTTTTAACATGTAGGCTAGTTTGTAAAAGTAGACTATTTTGTTAAAAGTAGAACACAAAGGAGGAGGGAAATTAGCGCAACATATTTTGGACAGTCATATGTTGGATTTTGGCCATTTTCTGAGGATTTAAACAATTGCATATGTTAGGCCAATGCATTACCTCCAAGAAAATCACTTCTAGAGATGATAAAATAATTTCGACTTTGAGACAGGGTAAATGCAAACAACCCACCCACATGTTTTTTTATAAATGTTTTCCTAATTTTCGACCCCTTCCATCCCTGCTTTTTTAATTTTTCTTGCATCAATATGTTGCATTTTGACACATAGTTAACCACTTTAAAGGAATAAGTGATTCCTTTAGGGGTTTTAAAGATACCCATTATGGGTGACCAAACTTAGCTGAAAGCAATGATTTTTCCTATGGGAAAATAACATGGGAAATATTGTTTTCCACTTTATCTAAAAGGAATCATTTATTCCTTTTAAGGGATTAACTGTGTGTCAAAACGCAACATATTGATGCAAGAAAAATTAAAAAAACAAGGATGGAAGGGGTTGAAAATCAGGAAAACATTTCAGAAAAACATGTGGGTGGGTTGTTTGCATCTACCCTGTCTCAAAGTCGAAATTATTTTATCATCTCTAGAAGTGATTTTCCTGGAGGTAATGCATTCGCCTAACATATGCACCTATTAAAATCCACAGGAAATGGCTAAAATCAAACATATGACTGTCCAAAATCTGTTGCGCTAACTTCCCTCCTCCTTTCAAAGCACTTACTTAACTGGATAAACTAATTAAAAGAGTTGTATTTCTTATTTCATATATCATGGCATAGTCATCATACTGTATTGTGAATCATTATTCAACAGGCAAGCAACACCAACATCTGCTTCCATAGTTCACCAGTGAAATCAACAGCTGCCTCCATAGCTCACCAGTGAAATCAACAGCTGCCTCAATAGTTCACCAGTGAGATCAACAAGCTGACCTAGTCAAAATCAATGGCTGGTCATTGGTCATTTAGACTGAATATGTGGAGACTAAATCATAATTTTTTACCATTCAGGAGAAAAACTGCATACAGTAGTGTGGAATTATGGAGAACGATGATAGTGACTTATAGCTGCAATGAATTACTTATAGATTCTAAATTATTACTCAAATAAATTATATAATAAAAAATACATTTGAGAAACCTGATGATTGATTAACAATTGTTTAATATAGAATATAAAAGAAAATATATAAGAATATAATAAATTCAGTATGTTTAGCACTATGTGGGTTAATGACAATAAGGAAAGTATACATTGTGAAGTAAGTTTTTAATTTCCTAAGAAGTTCATTTGCCCGAGCTGATTTTCTTGAGTAGGGGTCAGTGTTATTCATTTAATGTCATTGTGCCATCGAGCACATTTATTTGAGCTTATTCATTCATAAAAAGCCAATGTTAAGTTTTGTTAATTGCCTATAATTCCTGATGCAGTGTGTCGAGAAGGTTTAGTCTTATAAATCTCTGTCATTCAGTTGGTTACACTAATTTCCCTTATATTAGAATAAGTTACCTACTTCTAGACACTGAGGCATCACATCTTTTGGCCTAAAGTAATAAGTATTTTGCAGTTGCATTCTATTCTTCATATATTAGTTTTTAAGGATCCGTTTGTGTTTTCAAAGTATTAATATGTTGCCCTTTGTTTTTTCATAATAATTAATGATTGCTTTTCATTTTCAGGCATGTTCCCCATTCCAATGATGTTGCCTTCAGACCAGGAACACCTGCTGCAGAATGTTTCGGGTGCAACACACAGAAAGAGACAAAAGCAGGGATCCACACTGGAGAGATGTCAGCTATGCCTTAGGACATTCATGTCTCGCCAGAACTTGAAATATCATATGTTAACCCATACTGGAGAGAAGCCGTTCAAGTGTGACATGTGTGATAGAGCATTCTCACATCCCAGTAACCTCAACAAACATAGAATAAAGTCACACATGAGCTGATCTGACTATATGCAGTGTGATTTTCTTTCAAAAAGGTGATGATGGTTATCAATTGTAAAAAGGTCATCTTCCATTTGCAGATCTCTATGACTTAGTTCCTGAGTCTTGTGTGTTTCGAGGATGACAAGGGGTATAGAAAGTCAGTTACCATAAATCATGTGAAATATTAAGAAAAGTTCCATCCATACACTAAGGATTGTTTTTAATTAGTTGATCAAAATTACAATGTAAAAAGGGGAATAGCAAAAATCAAAAAACAGATAAGGCGGAACTTATTATTTTGTTTAAGTATAGAGCAGTTTAAGCCTAAAAAATTGGACGAAAAAATCTTAGCTACTCACTTCTAGATTAGCTACCCTAATGATAATGACATGTCACAGTATAAGCACTGTTGTATCATATTTGTTACATTAAGACCTGTTAATTCTCCTTGCTGTTTTGAAATTGGTGATATTTTGTTTCTTAAGTTAACAAATCATCCTAGGTGCCAAATAAACAAGTTAAATAAACAAGTTGTGGTAAATTAATGATGACAAATTAGAAAATTTGTATTTATACTTTCTCAATAAATTAATTTGTATTATTTATTTTTCAGGACCAGATGCCTTGCCAGTCGTGTCATTTAAAACATCAATGGGAGAATATTCTATCATGGGTACAGAAGCGTTTAATAAAAAACAAAAATGGGAAGTGAAAAGCAGCAATAGACCGAAAATCAGACGTTTCGAGTGTCCACTTTGTATGCGAAGATTTACGACGAAACAAATACTTGAAAGACACCAGAATATTCACACAGGGAACAAGCCGTATATATGTGAACTATGTCAACAAGGATTTTCACATCCATATAGTCTGACTCAGCATAAGATTAAGCATCATTCGGGAATTTGAAGAGGACTCAGGGTCCAAGATGCATCAGTGATCTACCCAACATTAAAGCAACTAAATGGTGCACTCTTTTGAAAATGATACAATTTCATGCCATGTTGTTGGAAAACATATTTTCATCATAGTGAAGAAATTTATAGAAATTTTGACCAAAATTGGTAAAATTAGGATAAAGCACCATGTTGAGTAACAACCATATGGTTATCTCTTATCTCTGGACATATTATGTTTTTGCTAATGTAGTCCTTGAAGCTGTGGCAGTTTACCTTGTAGACTGATCAATTAAATAGCTTATCATAATTGTTACCATGAGTCAAAGTACACAGAAATATCATGTAAACTACACAGAATATAAAATGAATATACAAAACTGTTATTTGATATAATTTGATATTTAGAATTATACCGATGTCTTGCCATTTATTTTCCCATAAGAAAATATGATCAATCTTGGAAATCTTTTAAGGTGGCTTTGGACATGACATCATAAAAGGTATAAGGTACAGGCACAAAACCAGCTTTTGCCAAGGGGATGGTTTAGTTTTTTATGTCAATACCACAAGATGCGACATATTGTAGTAATTCCCAATGTTTTTGTAGACAGTGTTCGCTGATAGTGTTTGGTGTCAGGTGGTCGGCGATATGAGTCTATAGAATTAGAGAATTTGACAATTCAAAAAATCACTGGAAAAGTGCTTGCAATGGTGAAAAGTACATAATTTTGAAATAACTTTTGACTAAGGGAGGAGGGTTCCAGGGAGGGGGTTTGCTTGAATTCCCATGTTTTTACATGCAAGAATATTACTCTGTCAGATTTCAATGGATTACGGTCAAAGGTTGTGTACAGATACCGTTGATATGTATGAAAAGGAATTGCAGGGTATTTAAAAATGAAACTCAGTATCATTTCAACTGATGGCTGACAGTTTAAACTACTATTCTATGGGCACATTTAATATATGTATTAGTAGTGCCTACCACTATTCCATTCATATTAAAATGATTTGGTCAGTCAGCAATTGAATTGGTGAATGCTGGCTTAATCCTTGATATTATTTATTTCAAAATTGATTGATGTAAAACTTTTATCATCAATACATCAAACATACATTATCACTCAAAATGAGTGCAAAACATTGAAATATATTGCATTAAAAACCCAAAATATTGATATTCAAGACAAGGATATCAAGTTAACACAACAAGCATGATTGGGCAGGAAAGGGTTGAAGAAAATATTAACATTATTTTATTTACATCTGACCTTTTTCAGATATCAAAATTTCTGAATATAAATGGTAAGATAAACACTGAATTACCTATATTTTTGATGAAACTGTGTCATTTGTGATTTACTTGCATACCTCCTTATTCTCAACTATTCAAGACATTATTATTGTTAGACTTAAAATTAATGTTATTTAATATGGCAGATTATTTGAAGTGGAGTAATTTCAGATATAGATAAATAAAATGTGCGATTCAGATCATTCTTATTTAACATATTCAACAATAATAATTCTCTTTTTGGCATAAGGATTATCGAGTACTTATTTATAAATATGTATTTTTAGGTTTACCGGAGTATATGTACAGTGAATGGTTAACACAAGGAAGCAGCAACATGTCGCCTAATGGTCAAAGAATACCACCTAGTGGTCAGACAATTCCATCTTATGGTCAGACCATTCCACCTGTGAATGTCCCAACAAAGAGGAAACAAACTGGTAAAAGACCAAGTTGCCAAATCTGCCTAAGGACATTCCAGACCAATCAGAACCTGAAGGTCCACATGAATATTCATACGGGAGCAAAACCGTTCAAGTGTGATTCCTGTGAGGAGGCATTTCCTCACCACTACAGTTTAACACTGCATAAGAAGAACAGACACAATAAGAATAAATGATGGCAGTTTTAAGACTTAAATAATTTTGGAAAATATTAATTTAAATAACTTAAAACTTCAAAGACTACATCTGTGAATGATAATGTCAATGTGTGGTACTTTGTAAGGACAGACATAATAATGATAAGGTTTCAACTAATGAAGAACAAAGAAGTTCTGAACACTCATTTAGCATGAATAATGAAGACCTCATCTTCTCAACATAAGGGAACATAAATCTTATTACCACACACCTCGTGGTAGACAATTCCACTCAATGGTCAAGGATTTCCATCTAGTGGAATGGAAGAAACCGCCTCACTAAATTTTACAGAATAGTATATTTCTTAGACATGTTAGAGCTCTACAGTTTAAAGGTTAGAACAGTTAAATCTGTTAAATTGTTAGTATTTCTAGTATTCCTAGTAATTAATGGTCACTATACCGATCCATATTAAGGAAGGATTTAGTATTGTATTCCTAAATAGATAGGGTCTAATTGTAAGTGTTCTGATTGTATATGCTCTTCTCTTCATATGCTGTTGTAAATAAAAGTATTATTCAATTTGTACAAATGTTTTTATGTTAGGTAACTCAGAACCTTAGCAAATTCAACTGCCAGCTGACGGATTTCCTTCTAATTTTATGGCCAACTCATTTAAATATGAATAAAATAGTGGCAGGTACTATACATATTCAAATGAGTTGTCCATGAAATGGTAGGTAAAACCAGCAGCTGGCAACAGGTGGTTGAATTCGTGAATTTTAGCTTTTAGTATCAGTAGAATAGAAATAGTTTTGTAGTACACAATATTTTTTCTGTCATTTTTGCCAATGTATTTATATATAAACATTAACTTCATTTATGAGACAAACATGTTTTGATTTTGTCCCCAAAAGATATTCCAAGGCTCATTTTGTTTCTCCAATAAAATCAAAATTCTCGTCTCTATTTTGTAATTGTAAAGTGTTTACTATTTTACTTTTCAGGTCGGACACATTGGGAGTATGTAACAGGAATCCCAGAGAATGAATACAATATGGTAGCCAATGCAGCTATATCTGGTACAAGTATGGCTGCCAATACAGACATATATTCCCAAAGACCAATGTGTAAAATATGCTTGAAGACATTCACGAATAAGAAGAATTTGAAAGTTCACATGAATATTCATACAGGGGAGAAGCCTCACAAGTGTAATATATGTGAAAAAGCATATCCGCATCATTTCAGCCTAAAGATGCATAAGAGAAAATACCATCCGGATAAATAGTGCAAAATGACTCATAATCCCCAGCCCCAAGGTGGTACCTACATATCTGAAATTAAAAAAACACCCTTCTCTGTAACAATATTAGCCAAGAAAAGGATGAACCAACTTCATGTGACAAGTCACAAGTGTGGCATTTGTGAGAAGGCATATCCCCATCATTTCACCTGAATGCATGTAAGAAAAAACACCACCCATATAAATAATTCAATATGACACCAATAAATGGATTCATTTATATTCTTGTATGTACACACTACCCTACCACGTGACCACATTTAAAAATGATACAGGGTACGGTTAAGTTGGAAATGGAGTGGGTATTCTCTATCTTTGTCCATTGGGCTTTTCTGGTAATAATACATTGCAAACTGCTCGATGAATCTATACAATGTATAGTAGAACACTTAGAATATGTGTAAAATCTAGTATACATTCAGAACTATGGAAATAAACAAACGTCCTCCATTTGCAACTTCCCTGTAGCCTGTACTTCTTTTAAAGGAATACAGGATACAGTATGGGGGTATAGTAGTGTGATGTACATGCCGCAAAGGAAAACTAAAATATGTAACAAAACAGAGGAAGGAAATGAAACAGCTAAGATAACCATTTCTTAGGAAGACAAACCCCAAATATTCCAAACTATAATCTATGTGTGTACTCAGATCATTTTACCTTAAAGATACTTAAAAATATTACACACATGATTCAAGATTTCATCAAGATAAGTTCTCACCAATTAACATTCAACAGGATTTTCAGCAAGGTTACTCATACACAAGATGAATGTAATGTCATAGTTGCCTGAAAGTGGCCATACATAAATAGCCCACCACAATGTATGCAATTATATTCCAAACTTTGAACAGACACTTGGGATAAAACTGATATGCTTTTAAATCAGACATTTTTTAAAAAATTAATTTATTAACATTGAAACATTTATACATCAGACATTAAGATAATCGTTTTCCTGAGGCTGAAACATATACTTTTTGTCAAATCATTGTTCCTATGCTATAGCATGGAGCCACCTATAGCCAGTATACAACTACCTAGTAAGTGATTTCTATGTCGATTCTATGTTATTGAATCTTTTGTAACAGGGCATCATGCATGTTGGAAAATATGTTTTGGTCTTATATAAAGCATAGAAACATGTCAGCCTGGCACAAACTTTTAAAAAGATATTTGAATATATACTTTTGTGCTTGTTCTTCATTATTAGTAGCCGTTGATTGTACTGTAATTTATAATAAAGAAATAAATTGCCTTTAATTATGGTGTGGTATAATTGAGCTCATGTTTGTTATCCTCAATCAGCCTTCATTTTATCGAGGAAGGGGAGGGGTTTACTGGATAAGCTGGAAATCAGGAAGCCTTCATTTTGCAAACTGTAGCAATTTAATAAAATATATTTTCAAAGAAACTGAATTCTGAATTTCATGATTTTTCCTTACCGGTTGATGTCAGGAATGAAGTGAATTTGTCAACAGGTCTTTTATTAATTTTTGGGGAAAGTTCAACTATACTAATTAAGTGCTGCACAATGTAAATTATAGAATGATCTATGATCAAAAGTATATGGTTTTAGGGTTACATTCATGCTCATTCATCTTAAAACACTTTGGACATTAGAGATCAAAGAACTGAGCCTCATTGTTTTTCCTAGCCTAGGTTTTACAACACCTATCTAAAGTGCTATATTGTCACACTCTTGTGCTGATGGGCATGTGTCTGTCTTGGCGTGTGGGCAGTGGGCCACATAAATCTTGCCTTCGAAATGCAAGGAAAACAGCGTACCTTTTTGATTTTAATAGCTATGATAGTAGATTTTTGTACCAAGATCTGATAAGGTTTGGGCATGCTAAATGACTCGGTGGCCATTTTGAATTTTTTATCAAAAGAAGTGTGATACTTATCATTGTGTGTTTCACTCAGTCTGTATTACTAATCATGCAACTTATATTCTGTATTTTTCTATTTCAGACCAGCTGAGCAATTTCCTAACAAATGCACCCACAGTCCCTAATCTGCCATATGCCAATACACACCAAGTCAACCCAAATTTTGAAAAACCACAAGAGCAAAAGCCTACATGTAGTATTTGTTTGAAGACATTCTCGTTAAGGGGCAATCTTAAGCGCCACATGCACATCCACACTGGTGATAGACCTTATAAATGTAATGTCTGTGGGGAAGACTTTATACATCACACTGTATATAGACGGCATCAGAAAAATTATAATCACTGAAGCCTTACAAGCGTAATGTCTGTGGGTAAGACTTTACATCATACTCTACTAGTATATACACAAAATCAGAAAAATTATAATCACTGAAGCCTTACAAGCGTTATGTTTTTGAGGAAAACTACACATCATACTGTATTAGGATATAGACGGCATCAGAAAAATTATAATCACTGAAGCCTTACAAGCGTAACGTCTTTGAGGAAAACTACACATCATACTGTATTAGTATATAGACCACATCAGAAAAATTATAATCACTGAAGCCTTATAAGTGCAATGTCTATGAGGAAGACTTTACACATCATAATGTATATAGAGGACAATAGAAAAATCATAATCACTGAAATCATAGACAGTGCATTTCGATTAGCAGATGTTTAGTCTGAGTCAATGGAATATGGAACCAAGGAAACATGTTCATATAGAGCGGTGTTTGGATTGGAGAGGTGTTAGGTATACAGGTTTCACCGTAAATATGTTGATAGGGGGTTCTGCTTAAACTTAAATTACTCATAATCAGATACACTGAAAGCTAGCCCATCCATCAGTACAGTAAAACCTGTAGACGAGAAGCACCTGACTGGAAGCTCAAAATAGAGTTCCACTGATAACGTTATTTAATAACAGAACTTTGAGAAGTACTTATGGATGGGTTAAACTTATAGAGGTTCATTTTACATAAAGTCATTTGATAACAGAACTTTGAGAAGTACTTATGGATGGGTTAAGCTTATAGAGGTTCATTTTACATAAAGTTATTTGATAACAGAACTTTGAGAAGTACTTATGGATGGGTTAAGCTTATAGAGGTTAATTTTACATAAAAGTTATTTGATAACAGAACTTTGAAAAGTACTTATGGATATAATAGAGGTTCATTTTACATAAAGTTATTTGATAACAGAACTTTGAGAAGTACTTATGGATGGGTTAAGCCTATAGAGGTTCATTTTACATAAAGTTATTTGATAAAAGAACTTTGAGAAGTACTTATGGATGGGTTAAACTTATAGAGGTTCATTTTACATAAAGTTATTTGATAACAGAACTTTGAGAAGTACTTAAGGATAGGTTAAGCTTATAGAGGTCCATTTAACCCCCCTATCACACCAAACTCGTTCTAACCCGTTCTTGCCAGTCCTACGAAAACGTCGTAAAACGGGCTCAAACTGGCTGTGGTCGGGAAATATGTCTGAAATAATTAGCTTCTTCGTTCTTAAACAGTCTTCAATACGTCCATCTCGTTCGCAGTTCGTTCAGGTCGCACCACGTCGGTGTGCAACGCCGTAGAACGCGTCCCTTAGTCTAGAAGGTCATCATGACCTGATAACAGAACGGTATGGTCGCAATCGAATTTTGAATCGATTCAAAATTCTAAAATCACATTCCCGTCTAAGAACGTTCATAAAGTTCGTAAATAGACCTTAGAAAGTTGCAGCTACGTTCATTCCGTTCACACATAGTTTAGAACCAGTTTTGAAGAACGCAGTGGCAACTTGTTTGGTGTGATAGCTATATTTTTGCTAACTCGTTCATAAACAGTGTTAAATACGTTCTTAATCAGTTTAAACACGTTTGCAATTAGTTCTACCTCGTTCTCAACACGTCCTCAGACAGTTCAACTCGTTGTTAAAACGTCCCTAGTAGGATTGAAGTACGACGGTTCCGTTCGTAGTACGTCCAGCTCGTCGTTAGTACGTTGTCATTCGTTCTAATTGTAGAACGTGACGACCACGAGAACATTTTGAGCATTGTCTAAGTTCTAGAGGACCTACCCGTTCGAGTACGTTTGATGAAGTTTGTAAATAGATCCCAAACGGTTCTTAGTACGTCCAGTCCGTTCGTACACAGTTGAAGCCCGTTTTCGAGAACGTAGTGAGAACTAGTTTGGTGTGATAGTAGGGTTACATAAAGTTATTTGATAACAGAACTTTGAGAAGTACTTATGGATGGGTTAAACTCATAGAGGTTCATTTTACATAAAGTTATTTGATAACAGAACTTTGAGAAGTACTTATGGATGGGTAAAACTTATAGAGGTTCATTTTACATAAAGTTATTTGATAACAGAACTTTGAGAAGTACTTATGGATGGGTTAAGCTTATAGAGGTTCATTTTACATAAAGTTATTTGAAAGCAAGACTTTGAGAAGTTTTGTATTTTGTTTTTATACTAATATTTCTGTAAACTATAACTCTATTTATATATTGTATTGTATATTACTAAAAAGGAAAAAACATTAAAAAATCAAATAAAAAAACAAAAAATAACAACTTACAGCTTTTTTATTTATTGTTTATTGATCAAGTAAAATAGAGGATTGAAATGTAATAAGTAACATTCTGACACCAAATCCATAAATCATACATTGTTTATGTTTCTCATCTTTCTGTATTTCCCTATTTCAGACGACCAGCTGCACAATTTTCTAACCAACCCACTAAGAGTTCCAAATCTGCCATATGTCAATACACAGGAAGTCAACCCACATTTTGAAAAGTCACAGGATCAAAGGCCTACATGTAGAATTTGTTTGAAGACATTCTCGTCAAAGGGCAATCTAAAGAGCCATATGAACATTCACACTGGTGATAGACCGTATAAGTGTAATGTTTGTGGCCAGGACTTTACACATCATACTGTATATAGACGACATCAAAAAAACTATAATCACTGAAGCCTTATAAGTATAATGTCTGTGGGGAAGACTTTACACATCATACTGTACATAGACGACATCAGAGAAATTATAATCACTGAAATCAAGGCATACAGTAAAACCTGCTTATTTGAATGCCACAGATTGGTATATCAAGGTTTCTAAAATATCTAAATCAATGGGTGATAACATAGTACTATGTTTTTAGGACTGCGGAAAAGTTCGTATTGAAAGGTGGCATGATAAAGGATATGTTCAGATATACAGGATTCACTGTAAATGTATTGTTAAGTGGTTCTTATTAAGCTTTACTCATAATTGGATACACTGAAAGGCCATCCTAAAGGCAAGGAAAACGTGTGGCTGTGATTTTTCACTCACATAGTTTCATTTTACATATTATAAGTTAATATTATAAGTTATTGGATAACAGAAATGTAAAAAATGTTCAACTTGTATGGATGTGTTACACTTACATCTAGGTGTTCAACTTTACCAGTTTAAGTGTATAAGTTTTTTTCCTCTACAGAATGTTTCTAGAGATATTTGTAATTGGAGGTAGAGTTAATGGGTGGACATTTTATCCCGAGTGCTGCACCCAAGGTCACATTTATAAGTGCATCTGCCCCATTTTGAGAGTATACTATCTCCTATTCATGTAGGACATTTTGTTAAAGTTTTGATTGTAAGATGAAGCAAATAATGATTTTATGAACAAATAAAAAATGAAACTACAAGTAGATCTACAAGTTACAACTTTTTATTCATTGATTAAGTGAGAGGAGAGAAAACTTCAATTTGAAATATGATAAGTTTCATTTTGACCCCAAATCAATAAAGCATACACTCTTTATTTCTTATCTGTATTTCACTATTTCAGGTGACCAATTGCAGTTCTTACTAACAAACCAACCAGCAGTTCCAAGTCTGCCATATGCCCATACACAAGAAGTCAACCCACATTTTGATAAACCACAGGAGCAAAGAAGACCAACAATGCAAAGCAGACCCACATGTAGTATATGTTTGAAGACATTTGCATCTGAACGCAATCTTAGAGGACATATGAACATTCACACAGGCGAGAAGCCTTATAAGTGTAATGTCTGTGGGGAAGACTTTACACATCATACTGTCTATAGATGGCACCAGAAACAGTTTGATCATTGATTGTAGACTTTGTTATTAGTTAGCTGTGATAGCAGTTTTTTTAGCATTAGTTTATTGTGAGAAATAGCCATTATACTAAATAGTGAAGATTTAGTAGTAAATTTAGTATATATTTTTGACAGTTTATTTCCATTTAAAATTGATGCATTTTAATTTTTATATTTATTTTTGGCACAATCTTTTATTTTAAACTTGATACAAATCCTCATTAATTGAATGACTTGAGAATTGAAAATTTGGTTTTAGTCAGTTTATTGTGCAAGATATTTGCAGTATAGTGCAAATAATTTTACTGCAATATTATTTTCATAATTCTATTTAAATCTGTTCATGAATATCTCTCAAAATGGTTTGAATATAATTAGCCAGGCAGTGAGTAAAAGTAATATAGATTAATTTTAATGAACATATGATAATGTTCATATATTTATACTGTGTTAAGTACTTAATGTTACACTGTTGTCCTTGAAATTTTAGTATCTGATTATTAGAATGATCTCTGCCAGTATTTGTTTTATGAAACTAGTTGAATTCCTTTCATGATGTTTAAATAAAGTTGTTTTTATGTTACAATAACAAATTGATTTAGTTTTACAATATTTCGATTTATTCTTTAAATCTTTTTCATGCAACTGAAAATTAAATTATGTTTAAATGTAATTAACAAGGCAGTGAGCAAAAATAAATTAGGATACTGCTTGTGAATGCTTCTTACATTTGTGTTGTATTCTGCAATGTATTACATATGAGAATCCGAAACTTAGAATGATGCATTGCCAGTTTGACTGCTATCTACAATCTACATAGTGTTCTCCACAGGTTTTTTCTCAAGTGGGTGCAAATTTCTCATTTTTGCGATTCTGATCAAAATTGGTCAAAATATTGCCAGTTTTTCATGATTTTTCTCTTTTTTAAGTGAAAGCAAATTGATTTTCAGGTAAGCGCTGCATGTTGGTGCACCCATTTGCTTTATTTTTTGAGTCGTATGATTCAGTTGGGTTACTATCCTAATGCTTTTGTTTTTGAATATATTTAGTGCCAAAGGATAAGGACCAAAAATTGTTAAAGAACGCAGCAAAAAAAAGAAAAAATCAAAAAGGACACCAGTCATAAAGTAAACAAACCCAAATATCCCAAACCATATTCTTATAGGATTGATTTAATTCGTTATGGTTTACCCTCTTCCCATCCCATAACCCTCATCTAACGAAATTCATAATGTTGGTTTGTCTTTCACTTCAATATTTATAAAATCAAGACTATTCACTATTGAAATCATCCAAAGAAGCCTGCAAAATAATGCAAGCAATTTCTGACAGTTTTTTTAGAATGCGGACATCTCTACATTATATACTTTGTGATAATTGTAGGGAAATCAATCCATATAAATTGGTCAGAAAATACATGTACAGACAATTTCTAAATTCTGACAATTCCATATTGAAGAGCACTGATGCAGCACACTGAAGATGGTCGGGCAAAATTCAGATTCTTCTTTAGGGTTAGGTTTAAGATTCAGGGATCTTCAGCCATCTTTGGTTGTGGTCCAAAACATGTTACTCATTTCATCTGTTACTCAGCAGAATGTCACCATCTTTTGTCAGTTATCTCCTTATGTAAATATAATGCATGCTCTCTCCCCTGAATGTAAATAATGCATGCTCTCTCTCCCCTGAATGTAAATAATGCATGCTCCCTCATGGAATAAATACATCAAGAAAAAACAATAATTTGCATTTTTCATTTTTTCCAGATAAATTACCAGAAGGATTAACAGAACAAGCAAGTGCACACAACATGCAAGCAATCACAGACGTCCCAGGCGTTACGGAATTACAATATATTAACATACCATCATACAAATATCCCAAAGCAAATGACATGACCTGTATACCACAAGGGATGGTATTTGAAGGCGTAGATCTGTCTCAATTTAGTGGTCGCCAGGAAGATATTGAATTGAAACCGAGACAGCGCACAAGACGACATACAGCAAAGACATACGCATGTGAAGTGTGTAGGAAGATGTACAGTACAAGACAAAGTCTCAATGTCCACATGAACATTCACACTGGACAGAAACCATTTAAATGTGATATATGTGAAACAGGGTTCGCCCATCCATATATGCTGGCTCTACATAAACAGCAACATTCCGTTCCATAATCTGAATATTGTTATCCTCATACAGGGTACACTGTTCTGTCATTTACACATTAACATTGTTTAGTAATCCACTACAGTGTACTATTTTCTGTTATTTCCACATTAATAATGTTTAGTAATATCATACAGTGTACTGTGTTCTGTCATTTACACATTAACATTGTTTAGTAATCCACTACAGTGTACTATTTTCTGTCATTTCCACATTAATAATGTTTAGTAATCTCATAGAGTGTACTATGTACTGCCATTTCCACAGTAACATTGTTTAGTAATCTCATATAGTATACTATGTACTGTCATTTCCACATTAACAATGTTTAGTAATCTCATAGAGTGTACTATGTACTGTCATTTCCACATTAACATTCTTTAGTAATCTCATATAGTGTACTATGTTCTGTCATTTCCACATAAACATTGTTTAGTAATCGTATATAGTGTACTATGTTCTGTCATTTCCACATTAACAATGTTTAGTAATCTCATATAGTGAACTGTGTTCTCTCATTTACACATTAACAATGTTCAGTAATCTCAGAGTGTACTATGTTCTGTCATTTCCTCATTAACAATGTCTAGTAATCTCATACAGTGTACTATGTTCTGTCATTTCCACATTAACAATGTCTAGTAATCTCATACAGTGTACTATGTTCTGTCATTTCCACATTAACAATGTCTAGTAATCTCATACAGTGTACTATGTTCTGTCATTTCCACATTAACAATGTTAGTAATATCATAGAGTGTACTATGTTCTGTCGTTTCCACATTAACAATGTTCAGTAGTATCATACAGTGTACTATGTTCTGTCATTTCCACATTAACAATGTTTAGTAATATCATAGAGTGTACTATGTTCTATCATTTCCACATTAACAATGTTCAGTAGTATCATAGAGTGTACTATGTTCTGTCATTTCCACATTAACAATGTTTAGTAATCTCATACAGTGTACTATGTTCTGTCATTTCCACATTAACAATGTTTAGTAATATCATAGAGTGTACCATGTTCTGTCATTTCCACATTAACAATGTCTAGTAATCTATGTTCTGTCATTTCCACATTAACATTGTTTAGTAATCTTATATAGTGTACTACGAGGCCCGATCAGAAAGTAAGTAACCAACTGCTCTTATTTCTCCATACTTTATTCAATCACATTGAAATTTTCACAGATGATGTAGAAAATATTAACCTATTAAAGAAGACCAAGGACAATGGGTTAGCGTCAATTACATTGTTATTGCTGTTGCTATGGTGACAATTGTTTTGGGTAGGCGGGGCACCCTGTTTAAAGTGGCGTTTGAAGATAATTTGTAGAGTTTTTCTACATGTTGTAATACCTCCAAATATATCAAATTCAAATGTAAGACTACATTTTAACAAAGAGTCCTTCAAATCTATCGCCACCAAAGTCAATGCAGTTGAGGCAATGTTTCACTCCGTCCTTAAAGAAGTGCAACATGGCACCATTCAATGACTGCAAACTGCCATTGAAAGCTTTAATGATTGCCTTATTGCTGCCCAAATGGACTCTCCGTAACAACATCCTTGCATTTGGAAAGAATTTAGTCACGTGGGGCCAGGTCTGGGGAATAGTGAGCCTGGGGTAGTTGTGTGGCCATGGAATAGGCTTAATCTACTGTATCTTCAGTAATGTTGGCTCTGTGGAGGTAGACCATTGTCGTCATGTCAGTAAAATCCCCCTTCAACAACATTTGACTGGATTGAAACTGTGACTGAATCATGATCATCATTATGACAGATATGCCCTTGATTTCTTTGTGTCAATGACTTATAAATGAGACATTGGAGCATAGTTACCATTGTGATAATACATAAAACAAATTATTCAGTCTTGCATAAAAAGATGTTAGGTCATTTGGAGGAATACAGCATGTAAAAAACTCTACAAACCATCTTCCAAAGCCGCTTACAAAAGGGTGCCCCGTCTACCCAAAACAATCATCACCATAGCAACAGCCATAACAATGGAATTGACGCTAACCCATTGTCTTTGGTCTTCTTTAATAGGTTAATATTTTCTACATCATCTGTGAAAATTTCAATGGGATTGATTGAAGTATGAAAAAATGAGGGCAGTTGGTTACTTACTTTCTGATCGGGCCTCGTATGTTCTGTCATTTCCACATTAACATTGTTTAGTTATCTCATATAGTGTACTATGTTCTGTCATTTCCACATAAACATTGTTTAGTAATCTTATATACTAGTGTACTATGTTCTGTCATTTCCACATTAACATTGTTTAGTAATCTCATATAGTGAACTATGTTCTGTCATTTACACATTAACAATGTTTAGTAATCTCAGAGTGTACTATGTTCTATCATTTCCACATTAACAATGTTCAGTAGTATCATACAGTGTACTATGTTCTGTCATTTCCTCATTAACAATGTTCAGTAATCTAATACAGTGTACTATGTTCTGTCATTTCCACATTAACAATGTTCAATGATCTCATTCACTGTACTCTATGTAGAAATCAACTAATACCCAATCCTATAAATGAACAAATTATTCAATATTCAACACACAATACATTTGTCTATATTTATATGTGTACATATTGTTCAGTAATTTACAATTATACATTGTTCAGTAATGTACATGACAAAATTATTCAGTAATACATACATACACATTGGCTCAGTAATCTTCATGTACACATTGTTCAGTAATCTACATGACAAAATTATTCAGCAATACATACATACACATTGGCTCAGTAATCTTCATGTACACACTGTTCAGTAATCTACATGACAAAATTATTCAGTAATACATACATACACATTGGCTCAGTAATCTTCATGTACACACTGCTCAGTAATCTACATGACAAAATTATTCAGTAATACATACATACACATTGGCTCAGTAATCTTCATGTACACACTGTTCAGTAATCTACATGACAAAATTATTCAGCAATACATACATACACATTGGCTCAGTAATCTTCATGTACACACTGTTCAGTAATCTACATGACAAAATTATTCAGCAATACATACATACACATTGGCTCAGTAATCTTCATGTACACATTGTTCAGTAATCTACATGACAAAATTATTCAGCAATACATACATACACATTGGCTCAGTAATCTTCATGTACACACTGTTCAGTAATCTACATCAACACATTGTTAAGTTATCTCCCTATACATATTGTTTAGTAATCTACATGTACTATAATTGTAATGTACATGATGCATCTTTAAGTAATCTACACTTTAAATGAATATTCAGATATCTCATTGTACATGTTGATCTATCAATAGATATTATTCGTTTACATGCACATATTGTACAGATTTTTTCATAATTATTGATATCAGTTTTGTTGCAAATTGTTCTAGATGAACACAGTCCCTGATACAAGATGTTCCTTATGTTTCAAACAATTCGAAAAGTTGGTAACCATTGACTTGTCCTATGTATATTTAAAAAAGGACATGTTAATGTAGCTGTTACTGTAAATATTTTTTAGAACTAGAATATCAAATAAACATGAATTTCATAATAACACACTTTGTCTATTCATAATTACCGTAACATTTAGTAAAATGAAAGAAACAAAGATTCATGGCTGTAGTTTGCAGCACTGACAGAAACATTAGTCTTGATATTTTGAATTTCACCTGAATACAGCATGACCGTAGCCAGTATAGCGAATATATGAGGCAAGTTTCAAAAGTTAAGTTTAAGGTATAATTGAGTTAAAGCTGTAGTTGAGTTAAAGCTATTAATTAGTTAATAATATCGTTAAGTTAAAGCTATGATTGAGATGAGCTATGACTGAGCTAAAGAATTAATGTAGTTAAACCTGTAAGTTAGGTAAAGCTTTAATTAAGTGAACGTTCTAATTGAGTTAAAGCTTTGGTTGACTTAAAGCTATACTTGAGTTAAAGTTATAGTTTAGTTTAAGTCATGATTGACTTAAAGCTATCAATGAGAGGCTGTAGTTATCAGACTTCAATTTCATGGTTGCTATTGAAAAAATGTTTGCACTAATATTTACTGTCAAAATTTAAGCTAATTGTCTGTTCTCTTTCCAGAACGCAGTTGGAATAGTAGGGAAATATCACATGGAGTTTACCTGGCACCAACTATAGCCAAAAAAGAAATTAAAACAAAGAGAAAATACCAATGCGATCTCTGTCTGAAGAGGTTTAAACAGAGCAACCATCTCAAGAATCACATGAACATCCACACTGGGATAAAACCATTCAGGTGTAAAGTCTGCAACGAGGGCTTCAATGCTCCATATGGTTTAAAGAGACATCAGAAGAAACACGAACAGAGTGAAGTCATGGAGCATTTTGATCCTGCTGTGTGACAGTACAATTGAAAAATTAAAGAAAGTATCTGAATGTTAGATTTGGTACAAATAGCACCATTTTCAATAGCAAGTATGATGGACTCAACGTCTTTAATGCAAATTTTACAAATTTTACTGTCATGGTCAACCAGTCACCAATTATATTTAAACTCAGTGTTGCTTCTCTAGAGGACGACCGACTTCAAAAGTTAAATTGTTCAATCTTTTTAATGTCAATAAGAAATATTGAGTAAAAATACAACTTCACTTTGAACCTGTTTGGGTACTTTAAATTTTCTGAAATCAGACATTCCATGATTTCGTATTTTGTTGTGTCATTTGATTGTTCTTATTGTATTGACTCATCGGTTAATATTATTCGTACCGGGTGGTCGTTAGATTTAATGTTGTAACGACTGATATCGATTGATGCTGATACCATGTTAGATATATCCATGACTGTAATCATTTAATTGATTCATTAAAAAGAACTTTGATTTGAAACATATACATTTATTGTATTTTATTTCATTATACAGTTATATGTGAGTCAAACTCCCCTTATAACCTCCCAAATTTATTTCCCAATAATAAACTTTCTCCGACACACTTGAATTAATCCTAACGCCTGCCTACAGAGTCGTTACAGCTTTAACTCCTAGCGTTATTGGAGAAGTGAAGCAGGACATTTAATTAATGGAGTCTAAAGAAATATCTGATTTATAAAATCGTGTGATGGTTTATTTTTTATTTCCTCAAAAAATAATTTGATCCAAATAGTGGACAGATCTTCCTATCCTTTCCTGTAATGAGTGAAAAGGTCCCCACCACTGTAAAGATAGATTGTGCTGAAGAAAACAATATACTCAAAAAAACACTAACTATAGTAACATCTTTCCAAAACATATCAAACCATTAGATACTGGTGCTAACTACTGTATAAAGTGATAGTATATAATGTATGTGCCATATCTGACGCCCATACAAATACACACCTTGGATGCCACAAAAGCTTATTTTCTGTCCTGTTATTGTGTGGTGTGTCATTCCCGTGAAAATCAGCATGCAACCAATCAAAAGTATTCCAAATATTTGTTTCATCAGCAGTCCTACAAATAAATTCTCATTTTATTGTTCTTGAATGGGGTTTCTTTTGAACGATTATTTGAATCGATGTCTTCAATCAAAAAATGTTTTATGACGTGATATATTTACTTTGAGAATATGTTTCGCATTTTGTTTACTCGGTAAATGTGGATTCATTCTTATGGTGAAGTTGGAGCAACGTAAACCTTGTGAATCAAGATGTGTATGCGCTATAATCCTAGAAAAAAAACATATGTTAAATCATATTGGCTTCAATATTAACAATCTATCAATTTACTGTACATTTTAAACGTCTTAAACTCTAATGCTCAATTAACATTGATACTAAATTGTTGTTCAAACCTATTATAATACTATATTCTGATTTTTCAGGTCAGAACTGGGCCCAATGGAACGTTCAGAAGGTTAATCCGAGCCAAGCATTAAACAACACAAGCAATAAACAAATGGAGTACTCGGAGAGAAAATTTCAATGCAATCTTTGTCTAAAGAGATTCAAACAGAATAATCATCTGAGATATCACATGAATATACATTCTGGAGAGAAACCATTCAGGTGCAGTGTCTGCAATGAAGGTTTTAATGCGCCATATGGTTTAAAGAGACACGAGAAAAAACACAAACAAGCAGAAAATATATATCATATCTAAAAATTAACTGTACAAGATGATGTGGTTTTGACTTTGCCGAAACTGAAAAACAACATCGATAAATTGAAGGTTTTAATGCGCCATATGGTTTAAAGAGACACGAGAAAAAACACAAACAAGCAGAAAATATATATCATATCTAAAAATTAACTGTACAAGATGATGTGGTTTTGACTTTGCCGAAACTGAAAAACAACATCGATAAATTGAAGGTTTTAATGCGCCATACGGATAGAGACACGAGAAAAAACACAAACAAGCAGAGAATATATGTTTTATTTATATTCGTTTGAGTGTAACGAATTAGAATATAAATTATTTCTACATATTACTACAGAGTGTAGCTTTAAGCGTTACGAAAATCAAACGCTATTTTCGAATGCGAGTAGAATATGAGTGAGTGAATAGGTGTGTAGGGTTTAGGAGAGACGATAGTCATGCTGGCTACGTCGTCTATACAGTGAACACCTTCTTAAACGTCATTGCAGGTTAAACATGTTTAACGCTCGATAGGTTCCATGCATTAGTTCATACCTTTTCAGGCCACATTTCGAGGCTCCTCACATAGAGGTTTTAATGGTGAAAATTAATGCATTCAATCAATCGAAAGTTTTTTCAACATATCATTAAGTCTCAGTCTCAGATTTTATGTACTAGTAATCCAAATCAACTCAGACATGCATCTGTAGGCAAACCTTATTACCGATGTTCATAAATGATGCGTAAATTTACACTACTGGAAAATTATCTGAAGTAATTCAATGGGTCCTGGCCTTAATACTTAATAAACGAGATGCGACCTCTAGCCAAAGCTATTTTTAATATCTAATGAGTGTCATGTTATTTAAAAGCGCAACGCTTTGTAATATATAGAAATCATATTTGAAAAAGAACTGTACGAGATGATGTTGGTTTGGACCTTGCAGAGACTGAAAAACAACATTGACAAACTGAATCTAATATATTATTTCTTAAAACGACTTCAACAAATAACAGTTTGGTTTTTACAGGACGTGTTTTACACGTACATTTTTGGAATATTTTTGGCAGTTGTAAAGCTGTGGAAGGCCCAGTCTAAAGTTTTAAAATATGTTTTTATCATTAATTTACTATTTTTGATGACCTATGTTACAGAGTTTAAAAAAAAATTATTGAAAAAAAGGTTATATCATATTTTTATTGTTTCTAAGATTCAAATATCCCGCCATTTTTCAAATAAAAGTTGAAATTTATTAATCGTCAAATCTTCCACTTTACAGTGCAAAACATATCAACTTTTTAACACAAATGCAAAGACTAAATTAATAAAATGTCATAGCTTATGTGCCTCTTCAATGTTTTAGCATATTAAAAATATTTTGCACTAAAATGCAAAAATGATTTGAAAAAAATCAAATATTATTTCTATCTGTATTTTTTCTTGCTACATATGCTACACCTTCAAAATGAACCAATGTTCAAAAGAAGAATACCTTGTTTTAAATGTTACCGGCTGTGCCATTGGTTTTTATGAGAACTAGAATTTTAAAATGCATTTTCCTCTGAACAACTTTCATGCATGGATGGAAAACCAAAGTTGTTTATGGTATCAATGCAATGTATTTTGGGTATTTATTCCATTTTAAAATGGTATGCACATGTTATTGGATATCAGGTTAGCATAATATACAGGGTCATCAATTGACAATCTGACATCCTTAAAGATGACAGCTCATTCTACCCGTTTATACAGGGCGGTCAAGAAGTAGGTTTACAGTTTTTCAATAATTTGTAAACTGTAACCGTAAACCTAATTTTGGATCACTCCGTATATTATTCTTAAAGAGAGACCATACCATTTTTATATCGGCCTAAAACCAATGATTCCGACATCTCTCACCTTCACCCCGTTAAGCTAAAGGAATTCACCCCCGAGTTCACCCCATATTCTGAGCTAATAGGAGGCATCCGTGTAACTAGCCTGAGAGAACAGACCCTTCTTAATTCAAATAAAGACTATCAATTTTAGTAAACCAAATGCACCAGGGTTTAATCCAAGAATTGTTTTAAAAATTACAAAGTTGTAATAAAAACAATTTCTCAAAATAAGTATTAAGTACTTGTGAGATAAGAGAATAACTGACACGTGTAGAGCCCATGGTCTCGGGTACCATGATTTTGATTGCCATATTTTGCAGTTAAATTCAATGCAATCATATCAAATAACTTGGGACATTTATTGGATTATTTTATTTTTCCAGGGAGAGTTTGGCAGTTACCTACCGGGAATGTGTTGAGCCCCAGTAAACAACCATCGAAGTACCAGTGTAAGATATGTCTCCGATACTACACGAAAAGTAGCAGCCTGAAATATCACATGAACACTCACACAGGACTTAAGCCTTACGTGTGCAGCGTGTGTAACAAAGGATTCCCTCACCCTAGCAACCTACTACAACATAACAAGCGTTACCATGGAAACACGATGGAGACTAATAACTGATGCACTTATGCTTGACTTGACGTTTTAAGCACTTAACTTAGTAAAATATATCACAAGATGAGTGTCCCTTCCTTTAAACTAAAACCAAATTTCGAGCTTTAAATCCACGAGTGATATATTTTGCAAACAAATCATTGAGTTTAGTGCTTAAATCCTTTTCTCATATGAGAGAACAATTTTACCAAACGAAAGGGCAGATAGTCCGTTTTGACAAGACACATTTTTATCACCTTATGAATGACTGTACTATTCATTCAGGTGCTAGCTAGATATTCGAGTTTTAGAAAGAAAGTTATGAATGATGAACAGGGCGCCATATTGATATAATAATGAATGTCACCGGAGTCTAAAAATAGCCATGCTTGATTATTGCAGATTATTTGAAATACTGTGTTCTGATTGGTCGGGACTTGATATATCAGGACGAGCTATATAAGATTGTAACTGTAGATATGGTGAATTGGGGGTCAAATCTGAGCTAAGTTGAGGCGGTGTTATTTAATTTATATTCAGCTTATAATATCTTTAGTAACTCAAAAATGACCAATTTTATATTAATGTTGTAGAAATATGTATGATTGTTAAAAAAGATACATATGGCCTAATTTGTGTAAAAGTCCAGTAATCGGTTTGTTTCCTCTAAATCTTTTTATCCATGTACATGGGTGGAGTATAACACAGATCCAGATGTATGTAATAGTATTGATGCAATCACTGGATGGTGTTGTGCATGCCTTGTTGGGAGTAGGGTTGTAGGCACAAGGGGTATAAAAGCAAAAAGAAATGCACGAAGATATGTATGAAATGTTGTCAATGAAGAAGATGATGATAGCTCAGAGAATCTCTTATTATAATGAACAAACACATGAATGTGCTCATCAGCAGTTATGTAAAGTCCATGTGTTTTCAAATGCTGCTCTTTGTGCTTCCTCACTGTGATGTGAAATAATAAATGCAGTATTTTACTGCCACAAACTGCATATGTACAAATGATCTCAAGGAAGCAGATCAATATATAATTGATTGATATGCATTTTTGACTTGTTAATTACTTCATGTGTTTTTAAATGTTGCCCCTTGTTCTTTCTCATTGTGATGTAAATTTAAAAAAACTCAATATTATTTTCTGACATAGTTTTTTTTGTAGACAATTGTTCTAAATGAAGTATAAAGAAGATCACTATATTCAATATTTTGTTTGTATTTTTGACTTGTTATATTTTATACGTTTTCGAATGTTGCCCAATATGCTCTGTCAATATTATGTAAGATAATAGCAACAGGATCAATTAAAAAGTCTTAAATGACTGAAAATAATGATTACTTTGATAATAAATAGTAGAAACATTGACAATATTGATGTGAAAAAAGTGATTTTTCCTTGAAAAGGTCATTTTATACTGTTAATAGAATGACCTAGACCTATATTTTTAAATATAAATGTCAGAATGACCTAATTTTTGGGATCTGGTTATCAAACAAAGTCTCTTCTTTGATATTCTTTACAATTTTTCTAAATATCTTGGGGGCTAATATAGGGTCTTAAAGCCACTCGTCCTTTCCAGAACCACAAATCAGCAGATATTTCATATACATATTACGCTGCTCCACCGAACTTTGTCATTGAAAATATGAATTGACTCTGTGTCACTACCAATAAACCAATTTATGTGAAACTCCTACAGTTTCAAACAAACTAACTATCCTGTCTCATGTTAAAGTTTGAGCTTCCAACTCCTGAGAGCCAACGCTAAGAAACCTTTTGATCGGCACTTGTATTAAAAGTTTTATTTTTGTTACCTCTAACTTTTGACTTGTATTTTTTCAACGAGAACTGCACGGAGCTTGTGTAAATTTTATGCTGCAAGCGTAGAATGCCACAATAATTGCTCTTCAGTTAAAAAAAAGTACAAATGTCTTGATTTGGTCAAACGTATTGTGATCATATCAAAATCAGTCCATCGGAAAGTTAGTCCCAATCAAGTTGTACCTGACCTGCGTTGTGAACTTCAATAGGAGAATCTAGAGAATGTAATGAAAGATGATGTAACTATCGAGTACAAATACTAATCTTTTGTAATAGATTTATTTCAAAACAAGCCATCGTCTTTGTAAAGCTTATATTTCTACGATCAAAATGGAATGATTTTTGAAAAAATAAAGCAATATTACCAAATCCAGCTTGCTGGAAAATCTGAAAACCGAAATCATGGTCAATGAAACTCATCAAGAAACTGATTTAACTTAGGTTCACAGATGAGCGATCTCATCTTATTGAAAACTGAAATTTCAGTTTAGTATACATTCATAACAAAACTACTACGTATACAGCAGTTACGGTCACTGGTTTCCTTACCTGTTTACTGAACCCATTAACTGTGAAAATTGTGTATGGAGTGCCAATGATCCGCTCATAACAATGGGAGGTCAGGCCTGTTATGGTATCACACTCGCTCCAGTGATTCTAGTAATACAAATACAAGACGAAATCCATTGGCCCAAGAGTAATTCATTGCATAACATCATGATCTGCTATGAAAGCAGTGAAGGACCGATCTTGAAGGATGGACGAAATCCATGAACTGGGTATTTCTGCTCTGGTGGTTGCGGTATTAATAGGATAAAAATAGACTGACTGGCTTAATGTAAACGTTTATATTTCAACTGTTTTAAATTCAAATCTGAGCTAAGTTGAGGCGGTGTTATTTAATTTATATTCTGCTTATAATATGATCTTTATTAACTCAAAAATGACCAATTTTATGAAATGTCTGACTACAATGGTAGATATATGTATTATAAACGTGATTAGGAGTATTTAGGCTTTGGGAAAATGTGTTGTCATTTAATTTCAATAATTCGCTGTGGCAGAGTGGATAGAGACACTGTTATGAATGATGTAAATAAATACAAATTTCTTTTGTAAAATTAGCATTTGAGGATTTTGCTTTAACGTTTTTTGTTGTATCTTTGATATAACTTGCACTGGTCTATTTTGTGATTTAATTGCATCCATTTTAAACGTTCATGCAGCAAAAAATATTGTAATACACCTTAAAGTATGCATCAGCGTTTGCAATGGAAATTTGCACAATTTCATGGATATTAAAATGGTTGGGCCATTAGATACTCAAATTCAAATTTATTTATTGAAATACTAGCTAATTTAGACATACAAAATTCTGTTTTATATGTCTCTGATGTATGACCATGCAATATGCATGCGCTCTCTCAATAGCCGAGCTACAGATGGCGCTTAGTGAAGTACTTTCACTTGGAACAATCCCCGGGGATTGCCTACATAACGTTTGACTTTACCTGCTTACACTCGTGTAATGAGCCATCGATAATTTCGTTCAGTACACATACAAGGCCCCGGGTATTATGTAAACGCTTGATTAAAACACTATTTGATTATTGTTTTTTTAGGGAACAATGCATCGCAGTATAGATGGCCGACAAATGTACCTCCGATAAACACCGTCCAAACGACAGAACTCCACGCACATACACAAAACAATAGCCGTAGTCAGAACGTCCACGGCCCTCGTAAATACCAATGCAAGACATGCTTAAAAACTTTTCCACAGACCAGCAACTTAAAATACCACATGAATATACACACTGGGGCAAAGCCGTATGTGTGTAGTGTATGTGGTAAAGGGTTTCCACACCCAGGAAACTTAAAATTTCACCAAAAACGACATCACGATCTGATGCTAAGTCAAAGGAACAAATGATTCTTGAGGCATAACACATGTAGTAGGACTATAACGTTTACAAGCTTGTGTAGTGTATGTGGTAAAGGTTAACACACCCAGGTAATTTAAAGTTCCACCAAAAACGACATCACGATCTGATGCTAAATCAAAGGAACAAATGATCCTTGAGGCATAACACATGTAGTAGGACTATAACGTTTATAAGCTTGTGTAGTGTATGTGGTAAAGGTTAACACACCCAGGTGATTTAATGGCTCACCAAAAAACACCACGATCTAACGGGCCTCTAACGGTGCAGTATAATCACTTAATATCACAATTATATCATATGTGAACATAATCACTAAATATCACAATTATATTATATGTGAATATAATCACTAAATACCACAATTATATCACATGTGAACATAATCACTAAATATCACAATTATATTATATGTGAATATAATCACTAAATATCACAATTATATCACATGTGAACATAATCACTAAATATCACAATCATATCACATGTGAACATAATCACTAAATATCACAATTATATCATATGTGAACATAATCACTAAATATCACAATTATATCATATGTGAACATAATCACTAAATATCACAATTTTATCATGTGAACATAATCACTAAATATCACAATTATATCACATGTGAACATAATCACTAAATATCACAATTATATCATATGTGAACATAATCACTAAATATCACAATTATATCATATGTGAACATAATCACTAAATATCACAATTTTATCATGTGAACATAATCACTAAATATCACAATTATATCATATTTGAACATTTTTATTTCAAATTAAATTTTACATCTTGAATGTATATTTTTTAATTATATTGCTAACCACTAGAGTATTCAAATCATTATATTACCAATTTTACCTTGACGTGGACTTGCGTCAATGTAAAAAATCGAGGAACTAAATGTATCAATTGCGGCTTCATTTAAAAATCATTTCCAAACCGAATGCATTTTTAAACCTAGGCTATATGTATATTGTCTAACTTTGTGCCAAATAAAGAAATCGTATCAAGGAAGTTCATCCATTTTGCAAAATTGACGTTCCATCAAAGTAACTAATGTGGACCAGTGGGTATACGTTTGTACGCCCGGCTAATTAGTCCCATTAGTCGAGGAAAAGTTAGCAACTGTCTGCCGTTTGCAGCCCAGTTTTTCATATGTATATAGGTTAAAGCTAGTAGAGAACTTAATGTTTCTCGAAAACGAATCAGTGAGTGCATAAAAAGTTGCAAAAATGTGTTAATCGAGTCCAAAAAGGGGCGCTCGAAAAAAGACATAGCCGACGTAGAGAATGCAAACTTCCGTCTGATTGAAGGTGAATATAATAGGTGATCTTATCAAATGGTTTCTCCATGAAGACAAAGGGAAAATACCAAAACAATATACTTTAGGCATTCGTTCATTATTCATGAATTTACGTCAGTGATCATTGAAATAACGCCCGTGTGCTTTTAAATGAGGGAAGATTTTTTTGCAAATCCCTCTTAACGGTATTGAGATTCAAATCAGCTTCAATCGTTTTATAGAAATGCTTTGTTTTTAGAAATTACGCATGGTGTCAATATATTTAAAAGGTGCTATTTTATCATTTTTAGGAGCTAATTCAAAAGTTGGTTTCAATGGGTTGATATATATATGTGTGACAACCCCAACAATTTTACTCACCATTCTTTGCCACTATTAAGTAGTGTCAGTTCAATGTCTCGTCATTGTTGGGTTTCACTTAATGTTGTTTAAATGCTTACATGTATGTTTAGGTTGATACTTTCCACTAAAGTGTCATATTTCAGTGATTTGTAGGCGAGTGGTGGACATTTTCAAATATTTCTACTTTCACTTCCGGTTCACGGGGTCAAGGTCATATTGCCGATAAAAGTTTGTCATTTGTTTTTCTTAGGAAATTCACCCTGTTAACTATGTTTTATCGCTAATCTAGTAAGATATTCACATAATAAGTAATATTTGCTTTCAAACGGTAGTTTACACTTGGTAAATGGTCCCGTATTGGCGAAGTTATGGCTATAAATCTAAATTTATATAAGTCTATTTTTAGGCTGACGTCATTGTGACGTCACTGCACATGCGCAGAGGGGAGGCAGCCATCAAACTTTTGCGAGAGAAAATCACCCGTGATTTGCTCTGCTGTTTCCACTTCAAATGTCGGTATCGTTGACCATCGAGATGCCGGAGCTATCGCATTACTTACAGCAGTAAGTGGTGCATCTGCACGGGGTAATGGCGAGATGTCATTCACGATGCTGGTCTCTAAAACCAGGTTTGAAGTTGAGGTTGGGTCTTCCGTGGCTTTTGCAAATGGCGTCATCAGCCTCCCATATTTGCAAGTTTTGATCTCAACCTTCAAACACACATCGTGCCGCAAGTACCTCATGTGGATTGATAGCCTGCACCTCATTTCGAACCAGGATTGATCTAGGGATCAATGTGTCAAAATTGGCAAGTATAACATTGTATTTAGTTTGAATTGTTTGGTGCAAAAGCACACTGAAACTATTTGACCTATATTCAATATTGGTTTGTGCAAAGGCACATCAGAATTATTTGACCTAGATTTGCTTTGCAAAAGCATATCATAATTGTTTGAGAGAGTTGTTTTGCATTGTTTATGATCAATACTCATATTGACCATCATGTTTGATTAATTCATTGCTAAGGATTAGTTATTACATATGATCATGTTTTGGTACACTGCGTTACTCAGTCTGTTCCGCAGTTCTGAGGTTCTACTCTGCGCAGTTGTACATTACGCAATGTCGGCTATTTGTCGATAGTTAAGTATTATCATGTTTTGGTACACTGCGTTACTCAGTCTGTTCCGCAGTTCTGAGGTTCTACTCTGCGCAGTTGTACATTACGCAATGTCGGCTATTTGTCGATAGTTAAGTATTATCAGGTTTTGGTACACTGCGTTACTCAGTCTGTTCCGCAGTTCTGAGGTTCTACTCTGCGCAGTTGTACATTACGCAATGTCGGCTATTTGTCGATAGTTAAGTATTATCATGTTTTGCTACACTGCGTTACTCAGTCTGTTCCGCAGTTCTGAGGTTCTACTCTGCGCAGTTGTACATTACACAATGTCGGCTATTTGTGATAGTTAGGTCTTAGGTATTATCAGGTTTTGGTACACTGCATTACTCAGTCTGTTCTGAGGTTCTACTCTGTGCAGTTGTACTTTACGCAATGTATTTGTTGACAGTCAGATATGGTCATGTCTTGGTACACTGCGTCTATTGAGGGCGTTCCGCGGAACTACCCTGCGCAGCTATATACATTATGTAATGTATATAGTCAGTTTATGGAGTTCAAGTTCTTGTTTGGCAACAGCACTGGATGATTGTGTTGAGTTTAGACACTCATGGAAGCTTAGTTCATTATTTAAATCTACTTTGACTTGAATTGTTCATTTATTGTCAAAGTGTCGGTTTAGTCGTAAAGTTGTGAAGTCATATTAGTACCATAGCTTATACATTTTATGCATGTATGGCTTTATCAAAAGCACTGTTAGGCAGTTAGGAAATACCATTTGTTCCATCTTGTGTCATCAATGGGAAAACAAGTTGTTGTACCCACATCTATGCTGTGGCATAGAATATTATAGGCTATACCTTGGTATAGCCTATGAGTGGTGTTGTATTACATTAACTTGTGTATACTTTGTATGCGATTCCATCCATCATTGATCGGCATTGACATGCACCGGCATGTTGCGTATAACATGCACCCACATGTTACATAATGATTAATGTGCACTCATGTATATATATTGGTATTGCTACTTGGTGTGTCAAACACTATATGTTGTATAAGTTATTGTTATTAAGTTGTTGATTACTATTATGTTCAACTCTTGTGTCATCATAACTTGTGATTACTTATAGTAATACCATGGTGATTTGTATAGTTGGTCTCACAGATCTTAGTGTTTTGTCAGTGGTCATTATTAGGTTCTTTGTGTCATGTGTTACACATATAGGAGCCAGTTGTAAGTGTACTCATTATTCATTGGTTATTGTAAGGATATGGTAATACAATATTGCCATTTTATTCCAATGTTTAGTTGGTAACTTGTAAGTTTGACTTTATGTCATATCGCAAGCTCACAAGAGCTAGTTGTAGGTGTATTTATTATTCATAGGTCATAAAGGTTATGGTGGTAATGCATATTGCAATGTTATGCCTATGTTTATTTAGTAACCAGTTATCCGGTTGTGTCACACACTCTCCCAGGTGAAGGTATTGTTACAGAATTACTTGTGTGTATTTAAAGTGAGTTCCATGCACATGAGCTAATTAATGTAAAGTTATAACATAAGAGTCTTAGTAGACAAGTTACATGTTTCAGTATTAAATGTGATATTAAATGCTGTATATTATGTGACCATGAAGCAAGGATATTAGTTCAGTAGTTACTTTAGATTCATCTTTGTGAGTGTTGTTTGAATGCATGTACTCATTGCTATTTAGTAACAATGTACTACTATTATTCAGGATATTATTCAGGTAGATGGATAATATGTCTATCATTCAAGTAAATAACATTGTACTACTATTATTCAGGATATCATTCAGGTATCACAACATCAAAGGTATTTTTTCATATATGTTTTCCACTATGTGTGGCTTTGTTTGCACACTTTGTGTGCCTCACTGTATTACCATGTTGTTCAGTTGTTAATAAACCTTTAATCTTTTAGTTATATATTTAATTTAACTCTTCTGTTTTGTCAGTTAAAGTGTATGTTTTATGTCGCAGTGCGACATATTCCGTCCCTTTGTCATTTTGTAAGTCATGTCTGAGGACCCTTGAGAGTATTAACAGGCACAACACGAACCCGGGATTTTAATGCTAACGATTCTTTCACCTCACTTAGCCCTTCCCCTTATTCACGCTACCACTTCTGTTTGCTCTGCACCGCCGTGCGGAGAGAGGGGCGGTGAGGGTCGTTACATATGTTTTCCCCAGTCTTGACCTGCCATAATTTTTATGTCCTGCGTGAATATTGTTGCATTTCTATAAGACTCTGAAACATGTGATCTGATGTTTTTAATTATATCCGGATATGGAATAAATCCACTGGGATACTCTTTATGCTCGGGGTTGTGCACAGTCATGAGGGTATACCGTGCAAGTTGACGGTGGAAATAATAATAGGATTTCATATGCAGGTACTCTCCTGCTCCCCACCAACTTTGTGCGTCATATTGTAAATCTAGTGGCATTATATGCCCAATAGCTTTATTATGGAATGCTGCAAAACACTCATCGAATCTTAACATTGGAACTCGCTCTGGCAGATGCCACTGTTTGTCATAATTATCCTCTCCCGGACAACACTCGTTGAAGTCGTAGATGAGCAAAGGGTCATATACTGATCGAAGAGGTGCACCAACAGCAGGCTGTGTTTCAAGCAAAAATAATTCAAATTGTCTCAATATGGAAGTATTCAGGTTCTGTTTATTCAATGCATCTTTGCTCAAAATCCTTGATAGTGTCGGTTTGAATATGATATCTTCATCGAGAAAAACGTAATACAAATATTTTCCAAGATGTTTCTGGGCATATGTCCAAGCAAGGTTTCTTCCCGCTCCCCAAGTTGTATTTGGACCAAATATGTACTTTATATGGCCCAAGCTTATGTCTTTACATGAAGATTGATAACTCAAAACTAGCACGTCCAAATTCTCTGGATCTCCTAGAGTGTCCGTTAGTACAAGATAGTCCCGTATGCAATTGATTAGTATTCACTATATAAAGAAAGTTTTTCACGAAATCATTATCTGCCGTCCGTGTATGTGCTGTTCTGGGTGACGCGTCTGCTGAAAGCGTTGCTTTTGTTGAAGTCTCTGTCTTTTTTGTTGACAATTTGTCCGAACTAGGTGATGCATCTTCCAAAAACATTGCTTTTGTTGAAGTGTCTGTCAGTCTTATTAGATATATGCACTCGTTCGCTTTGCTCTCTCGTGCAGATATCACCTCGTAGATAAAAATGAAATTGCTCAAAATATTAGGTTAATGTCCAGGGTCCCTCTCCCAATAAAATAACAGAACAAGGCGTGTGCGGTTGGTTAGATGGCATAAGCTTGTCTGTTAGACTGGCCATCGCCGGGAGGGGTGTGAATGTAGACACCGCGATCCCCGGGGTTACGATGGTCAGTCTAAGACGCTGCGTTTTAATAAAACCCATTGACTCAACTCGACAGCCCCCGCCACCGATTTATTTTATGCACAAGTGTTTCCGGCAGGCATGTGAAGTTTGTAATATGCACCAGTGTTTAAGGCAGGCATTTGAAGTATGAAAAACAAAACAAAAACATGCACCAGTGTTTCAGGCAGGCATGTGAAATTTGTAACATGCACCAGTGTTTCAGGCAGGCATGTGAAGTTTGTAACATGCACCAGTGTTTCAGGCAGGCATACGAGCTGTGCAGACAACAAGAAAGCACCATTTTGTGGCAGGCCTGTTGAAATTCTTGCCCCTCGTGGATAAGGCTTATGGTGTAGCATAATAAAATATAAATAAAATAAAATGAAACTGTTTAGAAAAACGAAGAAAAAATAAGAAAATATATTAAGAAAAGGGGGAGAAGGTGGGTGGGTGAAAATCGCCAAACAGTGAAGAGAACTTGAAATGAACGGTTTTGTATAAAGTTAAGATGCTTGTATGTTGTGTGTTGACTTGCAGATCGAAATCATAAACTAGAACGTGTGGTAAGCAAGGTGGGCGGATCTAAATGGATGTGCAAAGGCGTAACATAAAGGTCGATTGACCAATCCCATTAACCAAGTTTTACTTCAAAAACATAACAATATCCTATAAAGATGCATCATGTAAGTATGGACGGCAAAAACATATATTTTTAGTTTTTATACCTTTACATATTTTAACAATTACAGATAGGCCTAAGCCACCTAAGCCTCCAATACTCCGAACTGCTCCCACGCCAACCCATGTTGAAGAAAAGACAGACGCTATAGGGAAAGATGGTTCCACAGATGATGAAGAATCTACCAAAAGGTACAGCAAGAAGGTAATTAAAAGCATTTCTGGTGCATTGGAACATTTTACATGACTTATTTTCATATTAAACTTTTAAGGTGACTAAAAGTAATATGTTTAGGCAGTTTTATATATGTACGAGGGCTGGTCAGAAAGTAATGGACTGTAGGCTCTAACTTTGCCAAAATTCAGTTCTTAGGCAAATCATGGGCTTTCAATCTCTTGAAAGTCCATGAACAAATACAGCTCGTTTTTGGTCATATATTTCAGAAAATAATAATCAACCAGATGAGTGTTTGACTTCTATTTAAACTTTGAAAGACGTAGTTTTATAAATGTTTATGTACATATACGAGGGTTGTCCCAGAGGTAATGCACTTTTTGCTCTACCTTCATCAATACTTGTTATTTTGGTAGGGTGGGGCAGTTCTTTTTGTCACGTCAAAACGAATAAAGAATTGTAGTTCTATCTTGTGTATATTCCTTATATAATTTCATCATGGTAGCATGAGTATTTATGGTTGTGAGTCCAAATGGAGTATGAAATCGGGGCACCGTGAACAAGGCCTCCCTATCAGGTTTGAGAATTGCAGGCATTTTGCAATTTTTTGACTGGGACTGTAATGTTGTTATTTCTTATTTTATACTACCTTGTCGCACCTATCTTGAGTTCTGGACGTTATGACGAGGGGCCCCTTTGATGCTCTCGCTAGGTCTGATAGTTGTCGCTTATTTCAGTCTCTTATTTGGTTCTTGGTTCATTTGTACAACGTTATGTTCTTATTTATTATTTTACATCTTCACATAATATTTACATATGGATACTTTGACTTCTCTTTGTGAACTGCCTGTTCTTTTCAAAATCATAATTGGCTTCTCTGATTGCACTTTTCAGTTTTCAGTCTAGTTTAGTATACTCTAGTGCCATCTTTTGATCAACTTTAAACTTAGATAGCCTACCCCTGAAAACAAATCTAAATTCAGTCCCTGTAATGTATATGAAACATCCCTATTGAACTGTGGCATAATGACATCACAATGCTAAATGGCATTATTTGTGCTTAGTGAACATCGTGCTGAATAAAGTGAATAATTTCTCAAACATTTTGATCATTTAAAAGAAACAAATATAAATAGAACAACACACAGATTTTCATTAGACAAATTGGTACCTGCCCCGCCCATCCCTACCCCCGGTTTGCTATGGCAACCATTTTAAGACCAAACATTAACCTTTGATGCTGAAACTTCGGGATCTAACAGATAACACTGCAATTGCAATAACTACAAAATTCTAGGTGAATAGAAGAATATTAAAATAAGTTAGAGGATATAGTGCATTACTTCTGGGACAACCCTCGTATAGTACCAACAAAAGTTATAAAAAAGCAAGCCCAATGTCCTGTTTAAGAGCCCCTATTCTAACTATTGAAAATGGATTCTAGCAATACTCACCAACATGAATCTACTTGTTGAACCTCAATGTAGCAGGATTAAATCAATATTAAGTTGAGTGAATCTCAACATGTATTTTCGTGTTAGTGAGTAATGCTTGAATCCATTTTCAATAGTAACACGGAGGATAAGCAAAACGAGGGCGAAGCCACGGACTGCGACTCGTGTAATTCAAAACGAGGTTACAACGCATTATAGCTGAACAATGGCGGTAATTCCAAACTTAATTTGGAAGGCATGTTAGGATTTGGGGTAGATTATTGGTTTGGATATTCTACACAATAGCTAGTATGTTCCAGTCGGTGATCAACATATTAATACTCCACCTGCAATGGCATTCTTGGTGCTCGGCTGTCCAATAGTTTAGCATGAACACAAATGAATTCGAAATCTGCCACAAAAAATGTAATTTTGTCAATATTTGTCCCTAATATACCGATTTAAACAAAGGAATCAGAAATGACATCGAATTAATATAATTATTCATGTTCTGTTGTTACTATTACATCTTCGTGTGATATTTGGTAAGCGGAAATGTACAATTACATAGAAAATTGGAATTTATAATAGTCGCAGTCCGTCCATCTGCCCAACGCAGTCCGCGACTCAGTGTTGCTTTATATCTGAAGCTGAACGTAATCACAGCCAAAGGTAGATAGCACAATGTGTGTACAGGTGTGGCCGAAACTTTGGACAAAATTGAATATAAAGGGCTATTTTAATAGACCTATATCGTGTCTCAATCCATTCTGCAAATATATACAAGCTGTCAAATACAGCTGAAATCATGAATTTATGGTAGCTAGCAATATTGATGGACTGTTGGAAAGATCATCCAAAATTACATTAACTCACCAACTCTCCAATTATTTGATATTTTCCTGATATCTTAAATACTAGTTAATGTACCCTTCCCCAACAGCTTTTATTGCATCATCAAAAAGTTAATTGTTTCGCATTTCTACTTCTTATAAAAAGTCTCACCACTATCCAATTATCTATATATTTAATCCTATCCACAAATTGGTTTGTAATAAACATATTACGTTGTCATCTTGCGCTCGACTGTTCTGCCAAATACGCTATTGAATTGCCATATTTCTAGGTCTTAAACGATACAATATAGCAATTTGGGACATTGATTCAGGTAATAGATATATGTTAATCAACGTAACTTTGAATGATCTTTCCAATGATATGTCACACTTGGTGATTTTTTGTGTAGGGGGGGGGTGCGGGACTTATTTGGCACCCTTCTATGGAATGAATTATGATACATGCACGAGCGAACGTACAATACCACGAGTGAATATGAGGATATGTCAATCATTTTTTAATTATTAATAATCGAAGTTTCGTCTTGAGTCAATAAGAACAAAGCTCCATAACAGACGCTTTTGATTGTTAAAAGGCATAAACTACGTTTTTTGAAAAATTGGAAAAACATGATCTTTTTTGATTGGTTACGAACATGCTGTATTTATTTTGACATAACATGTACATTCTATGAGTATAAAATACAAATTAAAATTTCATAAGATGATATACCACTAGGTATCACTTTTTGAAGTGTATTCATCTCAATATAATGATTCTATGAAAAGTTTAATTGTATATTATCTTTTAACTTTAGGACCTAATGTGGCAGTCGTTATTCAAGCCACTACCATCTTCACCTGAACCTAGAAGCTCCAGTGCCAAGCTGGGTAGGAGGTTGCAGCTTGAGGTAATTAATTCTTTTTAGAAATGAATGACTTAGTAATAAATCACATTAAAATAAATCGGTGCGAAGAGTAGTACAGTTTCAAATGAAATAAATTATCCCTGTGTATCATCGAACTCATACATTAAAAAATCGAATAAGTATTAATTGTTTGTTTGTTCATTTATAAAAGGTAACAGAGGCACGATCTGCAGCCAATAATTTAGACAAGTGTACGCACCAGCCTGCTGTACCACCACATCTTCCAAATAGCTTCACAACACAGGTGATTAATTTTAGATTCTATTCCTAATTACATGTATTTAATCAATTTTAATGTGGAAGTACTGTCAAACTAGAATTCTGAAATTCTGAAAAAGATGCAACCTACTATGTCTCATTATGTAAGCCATTTTATTCTTTCTAATCAATTGAACTGAATACAACTTGTAACGATGAAAGTTAATATGGCCTGTATTACCCAGACTTATTGATATCAGTTCACATGATTGTGTTAAACTGATGTCTAAAAAGTCTAAATAAAGTGATAAACTATAAATGAGCAATAAACTAATATTTTTGACCTTGTATTTTAGGATATTAGGCAGCCTGTAGTTCCAGTAGATACTCAGCCAATACAAAGCTTAGAACAAGAGGCATTACCTCAGGGTATTACACATGCAGTGCCTACACCCCCTGTACCTAGCACTTCAGCTACACAGGTAACATTTACTTTACTATTTATGCTATGTGCTTATATTACATGTATTTCGAAAAACTAAATAATGTTAGATTGTAGTATTCAGTGTTAAGGTGAACATGAACACTAGTTTCTAAATGTACATTTTCTCTGAATTCGTTCATTTTTATTTCACCACCAAAAATTGGTGACATAGTATAGTGGTCTCCCTTTTTTGTGATGGCGGTTGGCGTCCGGCAGTTGGTGGTTGGCGTCCGGCGTCTGTAACAAGTTCTTACAACTTCCAAAAACTTAACAAATACTGTATATACTGACTTCAATTTTTTTCTAAATCAGATTCAGATTCAGAGTTGACCTTCAATGACCTTCTCAAGGTCAAAAGGTCGTTTTCAACTTGCTTTGATTTACCCAATTTTTAGGTGGTGACATTTTGTCATGTTAATGCCTTATTTAATTTTTATTTGAATCACTATATGCATTTTGTTCCAGGATTCACGATATAAATGTTCATCCTGTCCAAAGGAATACAGGCACAAAAAAAACCTTATGGCCCACAGCAGGACTGCACACGATCCAGCGTATGACAAGGGAACACTCTGTCCACACTGTGGACAAATGTTCACACACAAATCGACACTACAGCGACACATTAATCGTCATACGCATGAGGTAGAATATACTTGCGTACGATGTAAAAAGAAATTCTATACTGAATCTAATCTCAACCAACACCAGGAGACATGTGGCTTAAAAGTACAAAAATACAAGTGTAGTGTCTGTTGCAAATGCTTTAAAGCTAAAGGGTATCTCAGTGATCACATGGGATCACACGATGATCCCGAACGATACCAGTGTTCATTTTGTCCTACTTCATTCGGGCATAGAGGATCCCTTCATATGCATATTATGAAGAAACATGCAAAATAAAATGTCAGTAGTAGCCTAAAAGGTTTACGTCTTCAGTTGTACTTTGTACATTTGCATTTTGTGTGAACACGTGCTGGTCGTTTCATTTTTAGTTTACATTATCTTTTGAATAGCGAATATGTTCCGATCGACCTGACACAATATTAACTGACAATAGTTTGTTTTAAGATTTTCCACTTCTGTAACAATGAACTTCATTTCGATTTGACATTCGATTGTATTATACGGTGACAAATATATTCCAATTATCTGAGTCAATATGACTTCACGTAATACAATACACATTTTTATCGCACCCTTGGGTGCTTTATTGTTATCAGTTTGCCGGGTGGGCGATTGGGCGGGCCGACAGGCGTCCCGATAAATCTTTTCTACGGTTTCCAGCTAAACCGTTTGAGGGATTCATTTGAAATTTTCAGGGATATTTTTACCTATGAAAGTTTAAAACTGATTAGTTTTTCGGCAGTCTGTGTAAATGTTAAAGCGGCCATTTTGGATTTTCCGTCCTTAAAACATGTATCTTGAGCAGTGTAGGCATTAGCAGCCTGTCCGCTGGTCATTATTTGGTTACTTTTTATACGGACCAGTCCCTCTATGTCTTATTTTCTTTCTTGCAAGATTATGTAATCTAGTCTTAAGAGAACCATATACAAATATAAGTATGTACTACATATAGTAATCTTGTCCAAGAAGCATTTATTCGATAAATAATTCTTTTTTTATAATGACTTAGATCAAAGGTCTTGTAATTGAACATTGTTACTTTTCCATGGTCAATTGACAATAATTTGTATTAGACCACGTTTAACATGTTTAATATATATACATGTATGTTTTTTGGTATGCAAATATATAAACCGGCATATAATATATAAAGAGTTTAAGCTTCCCGTTGGGGCCCCCTAATAATAATCACACTTAACTTGAACAAACAGGTTCACTTTAATTTAAACGTGGAACTTAACCTCAAGAAAAGCTAGTTGTTTACAGGGGCCTAAAGTTGTATGTTCATGTATTTTTGATAGTATTCCATTTTGTCATTGCAAATGCTTTTTTTTGCATATTTTATGCATATTATTTCTAAACCAATAAACGTTTATAAAATTTTTAATAAATAAATGTTTGTTATGTATATGTCGTTACAATGTGTAACCACCCCACTATAGTCCTGTCCCTAGGCTCTCTGAGCTTACTCGGATTTAGAATGAAATAACTTTTGATATTCTTTTAGTAGATACCCTGAAGTGTAGGAATCCGTAAGTTATTTTTCCAAGTTTGGGTAAAATCAGTTTTTATGGCAGGTTATAGTGGCGCCATCTAGCAATTTCAAAGTTGCAGGGTGATACTCTTTAATTATAATTTTTTCAGCCAAATCTAATTTTATATTTATTTTTTTGCTGTTTCCGTAGAGACTACTTCCAAAAATATGCATTTGAATTTTTAGGGGATCCTGGAAGGTCATTTGATGGGTCATATGGGTATCTGCTAAAAGAATATCAAAATTTATTTTATTCTAAATCCGAGTAAGCTCAGAGAGCCTAGGGACAGGACTACTAAGTAACAATCACAACAAATCACGATATATCGGAATATGTCCCTGATACTTGGCACAGCATCAAACCTTAACAATAGCCACTCCATTGTGTTGCCCAGCACATGTTCGTTTTAATAATAGTATGTATTATTTCAAATCAATTCCAAGTCTTTTCGTTGGAAGAATTTTAGACTCATCGACTTTATGGAATTGCCTAATGGGCAATGCTCCTCTAGATGGCGCTCTGGGATTAGAGACATCTTGTGGTTTGAACTTACGCTGTTTTCTCTTTGCTCTGCTAGTTGCATCAAACGCGTGGTCCCTGAAATAAATGATTGAGATAAATCAATTTCATTATAGGCTTGAAAGTTCAGTAATATCTTATTTAGGAACATAGTCAGTTTTAGAAAAAATCTGCAGAATCCTTCAAATTAAACGAATGAACTGTTAGCAAGGTAGCAAGACTGTTTATGAACGAAGTAGCTAATTAGTTTAGACATATTTCCCGGCCACAGCCAGATTGAGCCCGTTTTACGACGTTTTCGTAGGACTAGTTTGGTGTGATAGGGGGGGGGGGTTACATAAGCAAGTGTAAAAGTACCTGGCTTCAACACCTTAGGGATTGAACATTCAACACCACTGAAGTTTCTCAGGACATGATCACTCGGCACAGCAAAGTTTATCGTGGAGTCTTCTGGATTTAATTCTCTTTCTTGCTTAGTTTCATCGGATCTAGCTGACCCACCTAGTTTGCTTCCCCTCATAAATCTGATAAATTTACCTTGGAATAGTTTTAACCCCACTTTCCAAAATAGTAGTGATTCGTTACTATACTGCATAGCACATGTAGACTTTTGAGCGTACCATTTGGCGACATCAAACAATAAATGTAAAGCAATGTTGCCACCCGGTATTTTGTCATTTGCCATTACATTTAGTACTAGTAACATGAGGAATTCTGCTTCGATATTATATTTTGTACAGAACAGTAAAACATCTGGCAGCATATTTTCAGCTTCATTTAGATTATCAGAGATGTCAGCTGAAAAAAGTTTTTTCCTAGGTCTATTTTTTATTTTAATCTTTTTCCTTGGTGCATTTTTAACATTGAATGGGGTTGATGGATTTGTTGTTCTGATTGGTGAGATGAAGGTTGATCTATTTGCAGTATTTGGTGAAGTGAATTCTGGATGACTTGATGGTACTGTAGACGATGATTTATTGTGTGATTTCCTTCTCTTTGATACGTATAGTGATAATCTGGATGCTGACTATCTTTTCCTGAAACAATAATAGCGTAGGAATATAGTTTACACTATCTTATTTATTTCGTGTTCGCGGCTGGACTGCGTTGCTTAGAATATCAATGGAGGCTGTGTTGCGATGTTGAAATAGCTTTGTTAACTGGACTGCGTCCACTATGAATGCGCAGTTTGAATCTAATTTTCTCCTCATGAACACATTCTATTATCAAATCATTTTCACGAATTATACTCGGAGCCTCAACTAACCTTTAGATATCAGAAACGTGTTAAAACTCCTTTCAACTGATAGTAAATTAAATAATATGCACATATTTTACAGGTAAAATCAGAACTTTGCTACTGTTTTAGCTTGATCTGGACAACTGCTTATTTTCTTATCTACAGACCAACAGTAGATACAGAGTAATATTTTGGTCACCGATTAGACACTACGATAGCATTTAAAATACCTGGATTTCTCTATTTTGTCGTAAGAAGCAGAAGGCACTGCCGGATGTCCCTCCATTTTGGCGCTGGGCTGCGGTGTAAAGTTACGCGAGTCGCAGTCCGTGGCTTCGCCCTCGTTTTGCTTATCCTCCGTGAGTAAGTTAGTTCCAAAAGTGCTTAAACAGGACATTAAAGCTTAACTAAGGCCTTTTTGAAAATTTTGTTTGGTACTAGTATACAAATACTTGTATTCAAGGCATCTGCGATTCGCTCAGAGAGACGAAGAAGGGCCACGCTAATTCAGAAGATATCAGAATACATGGAGGAATTCAGCCCAGCCTCATGCTTCTTCGCTGTTAGGGTGAAAAAACGTTTAAGATCCAGTACCTTGGAACCAAGGACTTCAAGGATAGATTTGCTCAGGGTTTGCCTTTGACAGTTGGCAAGCCAAATAACACCATCGTAGGAGTAACTGGGGCGGCCTTTGACATCAAGAGGGAAGGGGGCCAAAAGATACACTTCTAAAATGTTAAGCCAATTTTCTTAAAAATAAGCTCCAAAGTAAAAAAGAATAATGCCCAGTTATGTCAGTTTGTTACAAAAAATGTACAGTTTACTAGTATGTGGAAGGATCAGAATCCTGGCCCAAATTTCTAGAATGGAGTTGTTTCTACATTTAAATTTTATAATTTCTAAAGCATATCACATGATTTGGAGTTGAAAGGAATGTCGTTTTCTTAACAAAGTTGAAATCTAAAATTAGGTTCTGGAATAAGGGTGTACCATGCTTGCCCGTTGCCAGCTTTTACCAGGAGGGGGAACTTTTTCAAGGGGGGGGGGAGCTTTTTCACAATTTTGGCTAAAAATCATGCGAAAAATTCTCAGAATGGTGAAAAACTGCATGATTTTGAAAGAGTTTCTGGCTAGTTCGCTTCCCCAGCTCCCCCTCTGGCTACGGGATTTAACATGGCATGTTCAGATCGTACTCTTCTAAATGTCTGAAGAGTAATATGTACATCTTTATCACCAAATTAACAGATTAAGAAGAATAGTCAGCGATGTCAAAGTGACCATTTTGTAATACTCATGAACAATATTGGCTTCTTATGTTATGAGTGTTATGTTTCGATTTCAAGTAGTACTTGTTTAATTCAAGTATATTCAAGTACGGCTGCATTTATTTTCATATTTGTTTGCAAATGATTGATCGGTGTGTCGATCGTTAACCCTACTATCACACCAAACTAGTTCTCACTACGTTCTCGAAAACGGGCTTCAACTGTGTACGAACGGACTGGACCTACTAAGAACCGTTTGGGATCTATTTACAAACTTCATCGAACGTACTCGAACGGGTAGGTCCTCTAGTACTTAGACAATGCTCAAAATGTACTCGTGGTCGTCACGTTCTACAATTAGAACGAGTGACAACGTACTAACGACGAGCTGGACGTACTACGAACGGAACCGTCGTACTTCAATCCTACTAGGGACGTTTTAACAACGAGTTGAACTGTCTGAGGACGTGTTGAGAACGAGGTAGAACTAATTGCAAACGGGTTTAAACTGATTAAGAACGTATTTAACACTGCTTATGAACGAGTTAGCAATAATATAGCAATCACACCAAACAAGTTGCCACTGCGTTCTTCAAAACTGGTTTGAAACTGTGTGCGAATGGAATGAACGTAGCTGCAACTTTCTAAGGTCTATTTACGAACTTTATGAACGTTCTCAGACGGGAATGTGATTTTAGAATTTTGAATCGATTCAAAGTTCGATGGCGACCATGCCGTTCTGTAATCAGGTCATGTTGACCTTCTAGACTAAGGGACGCGTTCTACGACGTTGTACACCGACGTGGTGCGACCTGAACGAACTGCGAACGAGATGGACGTATTGAAGACTGTTTAAGGACGAAGAAGCTAATTATTTCAGACATATTTCCCGACTACAGCCAGATTGAGGGTTTGGCAATGATATTTATTCCACATTACAATATGATTTTTAGGGTATAGGGATGACATGTAGCTAGAGGGTCAGTATGATGTCGATGAGCCCAATCTTATCATTTTCCTAATTTTAATTTTCCGACAAGAAACCTCCAAATGGATAACATTATGAAGATAATATTTCCGACTTTCAATTTTCCGACAAGAAACCTCCCATTGGATAACATTATGAAGATAATATTTCCGACTTTCAATTTTCCGACAAGAAACCTCCCATTGGATAACATTATGAAGATAATATTTCCGACTTTCAATTTTCCGACAAGAAACCTCCCATTGGATAACATTATGAAGATAATATTTCCGACTTTCAATTTTCCGAAACCTGGCAAAAATTAGGCATTGGGTAATTTAAATGATTGGGAAAAATTACCACGTATACAACTTTTATGTGTATCATTTTGTTCGGAATAAACTCCATACACAACCTGATCAATATTTATTTATATTTATTTTTATTTAGACATATGCTTTTAAAACAGCAGCACTCTAACATCTTAATGTTAGGTGCGTCTACATCAATAGCAAACATTTAACAGGAAATTACTAAAAACAATCATACAGACCTTGGTTTAAACATTTTGACTAAAAACTGCTTGACGATTTTGTCAAGACTAGAATTTGTATCATGCCCCCATTCCACATTGTCCCCAAGCATGGTCATTATCTTTTGATCATTACTTGAACCTGTTTATCCAAATCATTATTTATCTGAAATATTAAAATGACCCAATGAAAATAAAAAAAACTGATAATTGAACCACAGCGAAACGGCATTTTTATTTATCTATACGGTACTTATTAATACTAGTCTCAGATGCTACACATGCCACCAAACGTAATCAATAGTTTAGCTGTAGTTTAGAAAGCAATGTATATTTGAGTGAATAATGCATGCGCAATAACAATGCCTTTAACCTTCATATGTAGATAGACAAACCAGTATAGTACTTCACTCTTGTCATATACATGCATTTCTCATTTGCACTTATACATTTGTACATTTCTTTAATCTTGGGTTATCAGAATTGGATTTATCAAGCAAAGGGTCGTCTTGGGATCAACTATTTAAAGACTTAACTGTATTAATAGATTCATCAGGTAGAAAATTAATTATATTAAACACTGTAAACATCGGGGATAAAAGATTGGTGACAAACAATAACTTGACTTTGAAGACAGGATGTTTAATGCGATGCTGCAGATGGATTTGGTGTACGTTCTACTGGCATTCGTGTGGACGCCTCGGGTGGCAAACGCCGATAGTTTACCTATAGTCATTACAACATGGTACTTTGGCCTGAATCCGACCAATACAGGCAAGTGGTATATCGTTAGTTATGCCTGGGTCACATTTGCTCTGAATCATCGGCCTGCACTCGGCAGATTGAGTAGATGTTATATTAAGACATTGTTTCTTTTCACGTCAGATCATGGTTTTGTGATATATTAGAGTCTACTTTTCTTATGACAGATTGGCACTTACAGTTTGCTTTTCTTGTTTGGTTTCTTAAAGATTTTGGTCATCCTTCCCTTTTGGCATTTTGAACAAAATACTCAATCGGTCGGGCGCCGCAGAGAAAATCGGAGCAAATGTGACCAAGGTATTTGTTATGCCTGGGTCACATTTGCTCCGATTCATCGGCCGTCACCCGGCAGATTGAATATTTTGTTCAAAATTGTATTTTGTTTTGAATATGATACTCAATCGGCCAGGCGCCGTAGTGAAAATCGGAGCAAATGTGACCAAGGCATTAGTTCATAATTCAGTCAGTGACAGATCCTCATTTATATGTCAAACAATGCACGAGTTTTTTTGTATTTTAGTCGTATAGTCAGACCTGTATATAACGTGACGATTGTATGCTAATATTCATTTTGATACCCTGACAGGTTGACATGGCCTTTCGAAAATATTAAATCTTTTTTGCCGTTTTTGCTACATAAATATACAATATATGAGATTTAATAAATTCACAAAAACTAGATCTAGTAGCCCTGGGTATTTAAGAGGTTTTATTACTTGCAAATAATAATATGTTTGACAAGTAAATATTACAGAAATAAGTACAAATTCCTTAATACGGACCATACTACATGTTAACGTACAAATACAAGTGCCCTTAAAAACGTGTAGCTTAACCTCTCTATTTGTAGCTTGGGACGAGTTACAAACTCCGGGGAAGCTGCCATTAGATGCAGTCCAGAAAGGCTGCGAATGGTGTGAGGACAACTTTTGCTCCAGTGGGGTGGGCTATGGCTACAAACCTGACGAAAGCGGAGAGAGCACTCTTGATGCTCTAGTCATGGACGGGTACGATGTTAAAATACAATGCAATACGATGCAAATTAGTGCTATACAATGCAATGTATTACAATACAGTACAATACAATACAATACAATAAAATACAATACAGTACAATACAATGCAATATAATAAAATACAATGCACTTCGATACAGTACAATATTATGTTATACAATTCAATGTAATACAATACAATTAGACAATACAATGCGATACAATGTAATGCAATTTAATAAAATACAAAACACTGTATACAATACAACACAATGGAATATAATACAATACAGTGCGATTCAATACAGTACAATATAATGCAATACAATACAATTAAACAATGCAATGCGATACGATGTAATGTAATACAATAAAAGACAAAACACTACAATACAACTCAATGCAGTACAATGCAATACAATATCATTACTTGTTGTTTTGACTTTAGAAAGACGCATGATGTTGGCGCCGTGGGTGGACTTAGGAGGGTCCAAAATGCAATAGGTGTCGCTAGAGCAGTGATGAAACATACATCTCATACACTTATTGTCGGTGATGCAGGTGGATATAAAAACAATTTATTATAAAATATAGCCATAAAAATTGATATCCTATGGTTTTCTTAAGCTTAAGCTACCATTTTTATTCACTCATATGTCACATGTTCATTCGTGATTTAAATTGTATCAATCAAAATTATATTTTCATTATTTTATGATAGTAATGCCACCCAATTATTTGCAGGCTTGATATATCTGATTAAAACAACAACTCCCACCGTTGCCATAATTTAAGTTGGAGTTTCAGCAGGAATGCGCGTAGTTTCAGTTTCATTTCTGTTTCAGCAACTGAATTCGCCAAATCGATGGGATTCGAGGTCATGCCAAACGCATCTTTAAGTAATACTTCAGATAATACATATTGGACTTGGAGGCAGAACGATTGCCAACCTAACTTTAGAAAGGTATGTACACTCCCCTCCATCATGATATATGTATACAACTATACGTGTACACTCCCCTCCATAAGTTTGTCAACAAAATGTCCTAAATTTGTGTCAAAGCCTGCTTTTTGAATCTATATTCTATTTCTTTAAGACCGAGAAGTTGGAAAATTTATGACATATTCTTTGTTCTTTATTTGATCGCCAAACATCTAGAATTTATGCGCGATCCAGAGGGGGGATTCCCGTTAGCAAACGTATTAAGGGTTGTACAGGGCGGGCAAATAATAATGCCCCACTTTAATTAAATGCAGCACTCTCTTTAAGCTATCTAGTGCTTATAGATGTGTGGTAATTTCTACCATATTTCCTTCCAAACTTTCCCTTGCAAGCGATAGATAAGAGAGGGTCTCGTAAACCACAATTGAAAACGTGAGATGAAACAGTATTGTCTAGGAAGGTGGTGTTTCGTCACTTTCCCCTGAGTTATATCGTTGAGATTTCCAAAATAGCTACTTCAAAGCATAATCATGGGATTGTCCTTCAGAACGTTAAACCAGCCGGAAAGTGTGGACCCTATTACCCAGCAGACCAACCAAGTGATTTCAACAGACGAACTTCATTTAACAAGCGAGACACGCGAGAGGACGCTTCCAAAATTTGGGACGTACCTGGCTCTCCAAGCGACCACGACACAATATGTGTCATAGCCATTGGCGCTAATAAGGACGCCGCTGTCGGAGTCACTACAAATGGCCTTAGATTTAAAGTTCCTGGGTAAGCTCTCTCATATGGGCACAGTCTGACATGATTATGTACCTCACCAAGATTTTACATGTTGATGGTTTAGACGCTTTTTCGCGATCAATATTTAGAAGCTACATGTACATAAGTCCAACTGTAGCAATCAACCTCCCTTGGCCACAGTTTGCCTTGTAAAGAGTTACTTGAACTGAGATGGGTGGCGCATAAGAAAATGTCCTTGAATGTTCATAATCTCTCCCCCCCTCCCAGGTCAGGTTTCAGATCCGCCCCTGGGGTCTATTTCTCCAAACTCCGTAAAACTACGGATTCGTAATTTTATTGTTCTTTCTCAAACTTACGGAGAGATTGCATTTCTCGAAAATCTCAATTACCAGGTCGTTCAATAAGTTCTCATAATTTTGCTCTCATTTTAAGAGTTTTTTATATTTTTCCATGAAAATTTCACAGACGATGCAGAATGTATCTGTGTAACAACCCTGCAAAAATTAAGTTTTAATTCTAATGGTCGTGAAAATGGCGGTTGTTATAGTAACATGAAAAATGGGTAGGCGGGGCAGATTATTTGACGTCATAGTGGCATATAATTCAGTTCAACATTGTGGAGAGTAACAAGTGTTTTAATGTCATGTAGTCCCATTTATCCCATGAAATAGTATGGGGTAAATGTTTCTATTCCTACTTTAAATGCTCAAAATAATGTCCATTGGTACAGTGTTTCTCCTTGAACCAAATCTTTCGGGGTCTCAGAACGCATTGAATTTAATTTTAATGACAGATGACAAAATATTTTCCCAGATTGACGGCATTACGGTAACGCATATATTTGTGAATATTGAATAGCTGGATGCATAATCAGCACTTCATTTTCTTTCTTTCATTATTCTTTAATATCAGCACTTCATTTTCTTTCTTTCATTATTCTTTAATCATACCAGAATAAAATCCAAACTTCAAGATGTTTGAAATTTAGTCAAAAATTGGATCTGTATGTATTAAACTTGATTTAACGTCAAAATTGGACGACAGAATATGTTCACAGACTAGCAATCAATATAACGCACAGTTGTGTTCTGACTTGAAAAAGGTTTAATTCCACACACCACTGGAAAACTAACGTATCTTCTATGTATTATCTTTAAATGATCTAGAAATACTATAATATACAACGCAAAGAAGAGGTTTCCACTAACTGCTGGATGTTGCAACTCCATTTTGATTTTTATGAAAATATTGTTTTTAAATCATTATTGCAAGTGTCAAACGTCGAAGTAGATATCTTATTCACAGATCCGACCAAACTCCATACAAAATTTTGGGTGTAGAGCTGTCCAGTCGTAAGTGGAATTTCTCTGATTCAAGAACGGGGCCTTGAAAAGTTCATAGTAAGTTTAACGCCCTGCTGAGAGACCGAACTTTTGGGGTAATCGAAGTGAAAAAAATTAAAAACAAAACCTTCATTTATTGTACTCTATTTGGAAGATGTAATTCAAATGTTGAAATAATATAACACAAACAATTAAATACCTGCTGATAAAATATTTAAGGTTCACATTAACTGTTTGAAGTTGAAATAATTGTAGCATCAATCTTGGAACTTCTTTTAATATAATTTATGAATTTTATTTGGAATCATTACAATAATATTTTGGGCCTTTTACAATGCACAATGACGTCATATCTCCGTAACTTTGCGGACTAAGATACGATTACGATACGGAGTTTGGAGAAATGCAATTTGAAACTCCGCATCTTTCTCGTAACTTTTTAAATTTTACGGAAATCGTAACTCTACGGGTCCGTAACTTTACGGAGTTTGGAGAAATAGACCCCTGAGCCTTGTGCAAAGATGGATAACAGTAGTGAAACATACAGGTTAGCCCAGGGAATATATTTGACATATTAACATATTGACATTTAACGTTGTTATAGACGTGTTGGTGATTCTCCCATACCAGGGGCGGGCGGCTATGTGGATAACGAAGTGGGTGGTGCCGCTGCTACGGGAAACGGCGACATTATGATGCGCTTTTTACCAAGGTGAGTGACCACATTTAAGGACATATACAGCGTTTAATTTCAAAAATATTCTGAATCGTGCTATGAAAACAAATTTTTGATGAAATTATTACATTATACCTTCTTAGAAGCCCATTTAACGAACATACTAAATGCAATTAGGGCCATACAACTGTATGTCAAATCAAAAATTGAATTCGCAAAATAAACATTTTGTGCGTTAATTTACATGTAAAGAGTTATTTAAAATTAAATTCTGATTCCGTCTGGAAAATTTCTAATTAATATTTGCACGGACTATACACTGCGATTCATTCTATTTTAGCTACCATGCAGTAGAGTTGATGCGGCATGGGGTGAGCCCTGAGAGAGCGGGACAGGACGCTATCAGAAGAATTCTAAAACATTACCCTGACTTCAATGGTGCGATGATAGTGGTAAACAACAAAGGAGAATACGGAGCGGCATGCAGTCCGGGTTATAAAACATTCCCGTATTTTGTGAGAACTGGGGACATGACAAATGCAACGAGGTGAGCTGGTAATGAGTTTTGGCAACGACAGAGATGGTCGAACCTAACTCTAACCCTTCAAAGAGTTTGATTGGTTTCTATCTTCGGCCATCTTCGTGCAGTTTTCGGTTTTTATATGGTATCTCCTTTTTCATAAAGGGCAATATAAACTTAAGGGTATATGATATTTAGAATGACTAAATGAAAATATTATTATATATTTTCATTAAGAATACCCACTCAGACGGCAGGATATCATCTATCTTGTATCGCTTGTGACCAGTTTTCAGCGTTTCTTTTTGAACAATGATGCCGTTTTTTAATATCTTATTTGTATTTTTTCAGGGTTGATATAAACTGTACGATACCTGACGAACCAGTCTTCCCAACAACAACGCCAGTGTCCAATACACCTGCGGGTACAACTGTGACATCGTCTGCTACAAGTACCTCATATAGACATGTGCTATGCTCAAAAACATTCCAATGGGCAATTTTGGTTATATTAGGAGGAGTTTATTGTTTCAAATAGATTTGATAACTCCAAATGCTTTGTCATGTGACATTTTAAGTGATTGAAACACAATACCATCCTGGTAAACAAGTGTATTCCCCCGGGCATATATTTGAATACCTTGATGGATACAGGTGTTATATTGCCATAGCAAGTTGCAACTACAGCTCAGCTCTGTTGACTTAAGTTTTGATAGCCCAAATGGTAGAGCAGACTCTGAACTGAAAGGTCTTGGGTTCGATTCCCGCACGGGACATTAGATTTAGCACACTCCCTTACAGTATGCTATACTAACGTCTATTTTTCATCAGGATTCTGATTTTATTGTCAACAGGAATATATTGTCCCCGTTTGAATTATTCTTGTATACTTATAAAAATCGAGACTCTCCTTCCCCGAACTGTGAAGAGTATTACGACAATTTTCACTTTTACACCAGACACTGGTCGTAAAAATGACGCGGCAGCTGAAATAAAATGTAGTGTCTTAATTTGTGTTTTTGTTGAGATATGATATTAGATTATGATATGTTATTGTTGTTTTGATAATTAGATACAGTAGGGGCTTAATATTATTTTGAAAACCAATGATATGTTCGGCCCACCTTGAATATAGTACTACTGTATAAAGCTAGTACAGACAAACTAGAGGTCAGAATTCTCAGAAAATTCTGGGGTCTAATGAAGCATTTCCATAACCTCCATTTTCAATCAGAAGACCGTTTAACGTGCCTATTACTCATAATGCCTCATAGTACCGCCAATGATAATCTATCAGAGGGGGGGGGGGTAAACCTCAAAAATTAAATGGCAACGTTCACATCAGAAATTGATAATTAACTAAGTGGACTCTCATGTTGGGTGGTAGAATGGTCATATTTCTGCAATAAAAACATCCGCAGCTCCCGATCACGACCAACCCTCCTATACAGGCCACCAGTTTAAAGGCCTATTTCTATTTCAATAATGCCGATGATCGCCATAGCAATGTTACTCAAACTGATTCCCTCAGAATATTTCAAACTTTCCTTCCCGTGTGAAAATGATTTATCTCAAGTCATGATCAAAGGACCATGTATTTGTTAAAAGGAGGTACATTGTACTCTATGAAGGTCGGTAACAAACTGAGATTCGGAGATACGATGGTTTAGCACTGCTAATAGAGGCTCTTTTTCTCCTAACTTACGTATGTGGGCGCGGACGGGTGATATACTAGTCCAACAACATTAGACCTAGCCCGGGCCTCGTTTCTTATCTGACATGTGTTATGGCCCGGCTAGGTCTAACCTCCATGACCATTTTGCCTTTGATGCGTTAATTTAATCGTTCAGCAGGTTTCGACAAGCGGAACTAATTGAACCGTGAAAACATGGCAATATTACACAAAGAATGTGATTCAAGCATGCATACATACCTTATAAACACATACACCCCGTCCCGTATCCCCCTTAGGCCCTGTTGATGCATAATTACGAAAATATTGGAGACAGGTTTGGAACAGGGGGGGGGGGGAGATTTCCCAAAGATGCCCTATCATATTAGCACGTTCGAAAACAAATTTTATAAACAGGCCTCAAATTGCCATTGAAATGGATCTCCAAATGTTCACTGTAGTTTTATGAGTATTCTCTACAAGTATGGATCGAGTAACTTCAATAGTATTACCGTAAGTTTGAAATGATGATGTTGAACTGATGTTAACGCCATTCCCAGCACTTCAAATTTAACTCTGCGCATGCGCAGCACTGAGAGAGCATGTGCTCATGATTGTTCACGTGATCGAATCCTGCAATTTGATTGGAGATGATGCAAGAGATGATGTAATGGGGAATCCCCGAATACGATAGAATATGAAAGAATTATGGGAGCTACTCACTCCTCCTGGGTTTGGAATATGACGAAAATGTCGGTCAGTTTCGGTAACATCGAAATTGCAAATCGTTTCAGGAATTAACCGTCATCACGGCACTACATTAACGAACAGTTGGTTTGCAATTAATAACTATTTTGCGTGTATATACGCGCTATATAAATTAATCAAAGATACCTGTTATCCTCAAAATTGATCTTTTTATCCCGAGTAATCGCGATAATAATCATCAATCTATTTGACAACAATTTCGTTTCGCTGGTAGTTTAATTTTACGATCCGGGACACTCAGACGAACAGACACAATGACGGACATGCGGAAATGTCACTTTAGAGATTGGTAAGTGTAGCCTCATTTTACTCGTATAAATGAACATTTAACACAATAATATTGTGTTAAATCGCTTGATGTTATGTGTTTTTATATTATTGTCAAGTATCAGTTGCACGTTATCGCGGAAAAATGGTTTCGATGGATTCAGAACTTGCATCAAAGGAAAGAATAGTAAGGAGGTTAAACTCAATAATGGCCCCAAGAAAATTCCTAATAATAAAGAACGCCGTTATTGAGTTTAACGACGTTGAACTAGTGATATACCGGTTGACCCGCCAGCTATCACAATTTGGGCCGATTTTGCCTTAGCTAATAGCAAGAAAAAATAGATCTCAGGGAAAATCTTTTTCTTGATATTCTTATTTTAATTTTTTTTCAATTATTCAAAATTTTAGTTTTCTGAAAGAAGATTATTTTTTCTGGAGGGTTTTATATTATTACAATTAAATTACAGTCGCATTTTCTTCAGATTTATTTTTTAGATAGTTCTTGGCTATTTCATTTTTTCGAGAACTAGCTAACCATAAGTTCATCATGAATGGTGGAATTAGGCCTATAAAATTCTAGCATTTTTCATATCCGAATAAAAGATTCGTGAAAATACAAACATTATTATTTTAAGTCAATATCAGGCCCGCTAAAATCAAGAGTTCATTTTTAAACCCCGGTGTGCTTCAAATGCAAAATCTTGACTCAGCCTGTCCTAGTCTAACTGGATGTGGTCCCTCTCGGCCCTAAGGCCCGGCGCCCGGCCCGGAATTCAACGATTTTGGCACGTACCCTCTGGATTTTTGGAACCACCCCTTGGCCTGGGTCCTTGGTCTTGACCTCACCTGGTCGATATCATACGGCCCCGTGACAGAAGGGCGCCAGAACGCGGGTAAGAACGGCTAGGATCAGCTTGTCCCCCCCCCCATCAAAAGTTGTACGGTTATGATTATCATGTTAGGTTTAGACTTTGTGTAAGTGGATTCATTAAACTGAATGAGAATATGATTCCAGATTTAAACGAACGGAAACAGTATGTTACTAAAATATGCGATCTTAAAAAACGGCCGTTCGGATTTTTAGCGCAATGCTAGAGAGCTCTTCTGCTGTAGAGGTAAATTAATAGCGGAAGTAGCGTGCGGATTTCTTAGACTTTTCTACAGATTCGTCGATACATATTCATTGTGAGTATATAACATAATTACTTGCTCTCCAAATGAAGTAACGGATTATATTTCAGTGTTTCAATGCTAAATTTTTATTATTGGCATAGTATATCTTCGATTCGTGGTAATACATTCATTACATTGTGGCATTTTGATTTTTTTTGCAGTGAGCAGATTCGATTGGGGCAGGCTTTAATTTCTGTTTCTACTTTCGATCAACTTATCATTATTCAAGATTCCTGATCGTTTTCTTGAAAGACATGTACCATTTGTAATACATGGCGTTTCAATCGTCATTCTTTTCCAAAGTAGCATGTCAAAAAAGCATTGGCATACATTTTCACTCACTGCAAATGTGAAGAGCTCTCACATATGGTACAACTTCGTCTACATCCAGGTTCTTTCCCATTTGATTACACAGGGGTGCTATTTTCAATGCCGCACTGCGACTCTATTAAACATTTATGTAGAGTTTCATTTGCACAAACGATAGGTATGTATGCAATTAAGGTCAGGGTGCATGTTGGGAAATTTTCTGCATTCCTCAATTGAGTCACATGTTATTTTTCAAACAAGAATCACTCCTTCCCTTCATTGTCTATATCTTCCAGTTTTGCACAAAGAGTGCACTTATGTGCCTAGAAAAGACTTGTGAGAAGAATGTTTTGATAAAGTGTATAAAAAACAAGAAAATTCAGTGAAAAAAATCAGAAAATTTTCAGAAATTTTTTTCACTGAATTTTCTCATTTTTTATACATTTTACAAAACAAACCTTCTCACAAGGCTTTTCTAGACACAGAAGTGCACTCTTAGTGCAAACTTGGAAGATGTAGACAATGTGGGGAAGGAGTTATTCATGTTTGAAAAATAACATGTGACTCAATTGAGGAATGCAGAAAATTTCCCAACATGCACCCTGTCCTTAAGATATATGGGAAACCTTTTTGAACTATAATCCCCAAATCCGAAGAAATCTGTAGTTGAAAATGCTGTCCAATTCCAGTGACGTCACTGATATCCCAGAAATTGCTCAGACGCCATCGAAGATAAAAAAATATAAATAATGTTACTTTTAATCTCCGATTATCTTTCTGATTATTGAATAGATTGGATCATACAACTATGCTTGAGGGCTGATGGAAGATCAGAAGCTGAGAAACGTTCAGAGTAAACTTGTTCGGCGGGCCAATGAAAATTTGTCCCTTCCAAAGCCATGCATCATGGGAGATATTTATGTAAATTACCACCTGAACTCTTATCGTGAATAGGAGTATTATAAGAACTCCTTGCCCAGCTCCTTGCTGTCCTTGTTGAGTATGAGCCGGGTTACTTTTTTCTGTCACACTATTTTCGGTATTTGCATAGACTTTCAAGAGAAGTGCATAACCTGGGTAGACAAGTAAACTTGTCCCAGTTTTGTTATTTCACGTTTCTTTTATATGATTTGGAATTTTCTTTAGATGTTTTCTAACATTGAGATAGGAGACTTCGAATGGCTGGATTGTGGGAAACACTGTCATGGCCTGTCTGTTCAACCAAAGTCCCACACATCATAGAATATACTTTGATCGCCAAATAGAAAGCATTCAATCTTACCTTAGACACAGCAAATGTTTGATAACTGAGAAATGTAATGAATCTGAACACATGTCCAAATATGGCGCCCTGAGGTCACTGAAGGTTACTTCCAGGTTATTTCCTGTTGTCTAAATGAAAAACTATATATCAAAACAAAATCATTAATGTATTAATTACACAGAGATTCAATTGACGGTGTTGTTTGGATTGGAAGTTACTTAAAAAAGTCATTATCTCAATAGTACCGGGGAAGAACGGCACACGTATGCCTGTGTAAAAATAATTATGATTTAGTTTTGACACTCATACTTTTAGATATCCAAATAAACCAGAAGTAGCCTTTGAGCATCATATTAGATATGTGTTCAAATTCATTACATTACATCAATTATCAAGCGTTTGACGGGTCTAAGGTAAGACTAAACACTTTATAGTTTCAACACAAATTCATCATTTGAGTGACTGGTTGTCCAGACAACCCAGGAAAGCATTTCCCGCAATCTATCTGAAGTAATCTTCTCAACCTAAATGTTGAAAACATCTACAATAAAAAATGTCCAAATCATCAAAAAGAAACGTGAGATAGCAACTTTAAGTCAAGTTCACCAGTCTGGGAATTTCAAAAATGCTTCGTGTGGACATTCTAAGAAAAAATTATTTTGTATTTATTGTGTATTTTGCTGCTTTGGAAAAAGTCAACCTCACATAACCTTACATTCCTGTTGTCTCATTATTTAATTGCAGTACACTCACGATGAAAGCTAGGAAATCACGAGGGGAGAAATTGGCCAGATTTCGCCAAAGTGTTGAGCAATTGTCTACCAATACAGAGGAGGATCCGCGATTTCAAGATGCCTCAGTCAATAAAAAGTCCAGAAAAGATCAGCGAAAAGAAGATCGTAAAATGAAAAAAGCTCGGAAAAATGCATTCATGCATAGAGAACCAATGCCAGTTTTACACAATGATAAAATTATCTCCCCAATTGAGCTTGAAAAAATCAATGAGAAAAAGCGAGAAAAGCGCAAAAAGGAGCGCACTCGACAGAAAGCCAAAAAAATTCGACAGAAGGAATCCGAAGCAAGAGAAGCTGAAGAGCTGAAAAAACAAGGGCTGATTGAAGCCAATAAACAAGAAGATAAGGTGATTAAACAGTTAGAAAAACAAATGAAGTTAAATAAAAGAAAGGGAAAAGGTCTACCAGCTTCCTTTATAGATGATGGACTTGATTTCATCTTAGATGCCTGTGACTCAGAAAAACTGACAGCTATGTTAGATGCAGATGATATAGATAGTGATCTGGATGTTGACCTTGAAAATAAACTCCAGGAATCAGAGGGTGAGTCAGATGATGATAGGAATGAAAGTGATGACAATGAAAGTGATAATAATGAAAGTGAAAGTAATGAAGATGCAAGAAGTGATAATGATGAAAGTGAAAGTAATGCCAATTCAGATGAAAATGATGAAAGTGAAAAAGACAATGATTCTGAGGAAAACATGAGTGAAAATGATTCATCAGACAATGACCCAGAAAATGACACAAGTCAAACTATTCCTAACAAGAAGCCAACAAAAACTAAAGCATCTGTGATGAAGGAGGACATTTATGGTCGATTACGGGATGTGGACGGCAATCTTGTCACAGGGTCTACTACAATAGCTGGAAGTTATGTTCCCCCAGGAAAACGTCTCAAGTTGGAGGCTGACAACAACCAAGCAACAAACATTAGACTCAAGAAGCAACTTAAAGGTGATAAAATCTAGAATAATATTAATGCAAAGTGTGCATTTTGAATTGGGGAAGGGTAAGAACTTGCAATTGAAATATTTACTCCCAGCTTGCTTTTGAAAAATATAACTTTTGAAAAAAGAATTATTCATCCTATAATTTTCAAACATTTGAATTTCATGTCATTCAAGAAACAAAACTTTATGTTTTTAGATTGTCACCCTTTTGTCTATTCCATTTAATAGCAGACAAACTTCATCTTATATCAACCATCTAATCTATGATTTTAAAGCATTTTAATAATTTTGATAGCATCATGATACGCTGTGATGCCACTCAGGTGGCAAAATAGTTGTACAAAAATTGTAACATTTTTCTTGTACAAATATTTTCTAAACATGATTTAAACCTTCAAAAGATTGAATGTTTTAAACACAGAATATACTTTTTGTAATTCCTTCGAAATCAACCTTTGAAATTAAATTGAAAAGTTTCACATAGCACATTTTGATAACATTGGCTGTAGAACTATAATATGAGTCAAAGTGGTTTAAACTTTATATGAGGCCTTTAAATGTTGGAATTGTAGGCAGCACCCCTTTTAAAGTTGTAATGAATACTATCTGATTTGTACTTAGGCTGAAAATTAAGCAAATTTAAAATTCAGATTTTCCAACCTAGTTTGTTGTAAATTAATTTCCATTAAGTATTTGATGAACCAAGTCACCCAAAATTAACAATGAAACATACAATTATTTTACAATACAACTTTTAAATTTATGTCCATAATTGTACATTTTCAGGAGAGAAACTGATGTGCCAATAGCAGCGTATATATATATCAATCAAACATAGTTGTGTGTAATAAAAGCATTCTCCAATTGCAGGCCTTGTCAACAGATTGAGTGAAGCTAACATGCAGGGTATTGGTGGCTAGATTGAGGGCCCCTATAGAGTCAATAGCAGGGCATCTATCAATGAAACATAGTTGGAGATTGTACTTGATGTGTGTAATAAATGCATTCTCCAATTGCAGGCCTTGTCAACAAATTGAGTGAAGCTAACATGCAGGGTATTGGTGGCCAAATTGAGGGGCTCTATAGAGCCAACAGCAGGGCATCTATCAATGAAACATAGTTGGAGATTGTTCTTGATGTGTGTAATAAAAGCATTCTCCAATTGCAGGCCTTGTCAACAGATTGAGTGAAGCTAACATGCAGGGTATTGGTGGCCAAATTGAGGGGCTCTATAGAGCCAACAGCAGGGCATCTATCAATGAAACATAGTTGGAGATTGTTCTTGATGTGTGTAATAAAAGCATTCTCCAATTGCAGGCCTTGTCAACAGATTGAGTGAAGCTAACATGCAGGGTATTGGTGGCCAAATTGAGGGGCTCTATAGAGCCAACAGCAGGGCATCTATCAATGAAACATAGTTGGAGATTGTACTTATGTGTGTAATAAATGCATTCTCCAATTGCAGGCCTTGTCAACAAATTGAGTGAAGCTAACATGCAGGGTATTGGTGGCCAAATTGAGGGCCTCTATAGAGCCAACAGTAGGGCATCTATCAATGAAACATAGTTGGAGATTGTTCTTTATGTGTGTAATAAAAGCATTCTCCAATTGCAGGCCTTGTCAACAGATTGAGTGAAGCTAACATGCAGGGTATTGGTGGCCAAATTGAGGGCCTCTATAGAGCCAACAGCAGGGCATCTATCAATGAAACATAGTTGGAGATTGTACTTATGTGTGTAATAAATGCATTCTCCAATTGCAGGCCTTGTCAACAGATTGAGTGAAGCTAACATGCAGGGTATTGGTGGCTAGATTGAGGGCCCCTATAGAGTCAATAGCAGGGCATCTATCAATGAAACATAGTTGGAGATTGTACTTGATGTGTGTAATAAAAGCATTCTCCAATTGCAGGTCTTGTCAACAGATTGAGTGAAGCTAACATGCAGGGTATTGGTGGCCAAATTGAGGGCCTCTATAGAGCCAACAGTAGGGCATCTATAAATGAAACATTGTTGGAGATTGTACTTGATGCCTGTATTGGCCCCAGTCTGACCCCAGAGAGGCTTGCCATGGAAATGTGTATGCTTGTAGCCTACCTTCACATTACAGTTGGTAAGTAATTAAAAATGGGTAGTGGTGCAAATAGGAATAGAGTCACATTGTGATGCAATGAGTTGCTAAATTTTGTTTTTTTATTAGTTGCTATAGCAAACATACTTGTAATTTGATTAATTTAAATGTTTGCCAACACATAGAGGAAATATAAGATATAACAGAATACTGAGCATAAACGGAGCTGTTTATTTTGAGAAGAATATGACGTGTCATGAATATTTGTGTAAATCAATGCATTTGTAGACTGTTTTTGTTTTGTTTTTTGAAAAATAGACATCAAAAGATTTTGACTCAATTTTTTTTTGTGTCGACTCCACTTTTCTCCAGGACTTGCACACTAATGGTGTTTTCATTAGGAAATACCTGTGCCACTTTCATTGAACATTTCCCTTGCCATTCAGCCATTCAAATAAGATTATAGAATGAAATATTTGAATATTATCTACTTGTGGATAAAAACCATATTCATCAGCTTCATAGTCATTGTATGTAGTCCATTTGGAAGTCAAACGGCAACAAACTGTAGAGCTGAAAACGTATGTCTCATGATTTGTAGAAATATGCAAAATCGTTCTAGTAATATGAATAAAAATTATGTGCAATAAATTCCATATGAAGGGACTATCTTACCCTCATTCTGAAAACTCTAAAGCAAATTGTGTTTTTTAGGAAATGAGCTTGCTGCTCTACTGCTCCAAAGTCTTGTGAAACAACTAGATGAGCAATTCCTAAAATCAGATGCCCAGATATCCCCAACAAAGGAGGTACATAACATGGTCATCCTCCTGTGCCATATGTACAGCTTTGGACTTGTGGGCAATGTCCTTGTGTATGACCTCATAAGAACCCTAACTGAGAGATTCAACGAGATAGACATTGAATTGGTACTACTGGTGATGAAACATGTTGGCTTTACCCTAAGGAAGGACGATGCCATGGCGTTGAAGGAGGTCATGTTAAAGATCCAAGTCAAAGTGAGCGAGGTGAATCGGGATGATTTTCAGGATAGATCTAGAGTTGGTTTCATGTTGGAGACCCTCCAAGCAATTAAAAATAACAACATGAGAAAAATCCCTAATTATGATCCAAGCCATATGGAGCATTTACGCAAGTTACTTCGCAATTATACTAAGGGGTCTTCGAGTAATCCCTTGAGGATTTCACTTGAAGATCTTCGCAGTGCAGAAAACAAGGGCAAGTGGTGGGTTGTGGGGTCTGCCTGGGAGGGACGAGCTCATGATACATCAACTGAAACTTCAGTGACACCTATTGGTAGTCAAATGAGCGATAACATACAAGAGTTGGCGCGGAAACTGCGCATGAATACAGATGTGCGCAAAGGTATCTTCTCTATTATAATGACAAGTGAGGATTACATTGATGCCTTCGAGAAGTTGTTACGTCTTGGACTGAAACAGCAACAGGAAAGTGAAATAATTCACGTCATTGTAGAATGTTGTTGTCAGGAAAAAAAATACAATCCATACTATGGGTACCTCTTGCAGAAATTGTGCGAGTATGACCGCAGATTTATGATGACTTTTCAGTTCCATATGTGGGATCGATTTCAGACAATATCGGGCATGTCTGAACAGAACCTTCACAATTTGTCCACCATTTTGACTCATCTCCTAGCAACCAAAGCTGTGTCACTTTCTATCTTTAAAGAGGTCGAATTCGGTGAACTTCAGAAAGCCATGGTGAAGTTCATAAAGATGGTCTGTACTAGCCTCCTTTTGAATTATGACAATGACGTCATAGAATACACGTTCAAAAGAATAGCCTCGCAACCTAATTTGCATATGTTACGAGAGGGCTTGAGACTATTTATCAGACATTTTCTTGTGAAAAGCAAAGCTTTGGCAGAGCAAAGAGCAGATCTTGAATCTAAAGTTAAAGTATTAGAGAAAGCATTATCGTCTGCTGAAGTCAAAATGAGGTTGTGAACACACATGTGAAATGTGTCATGTATTTGTTAAATAGGTATATGATCCAGAATAAACCAAAATGATTTTTCTAATACATATAATCTTGCATTGTAATACACATAGCTTGTGCCATTAAAAGGAAAGTTATAAATCTTCTATTGATCTCTAACAGTACTGTATGGTTTTGCTCTGCTTTATAATGTCTACCACCAAAAAGTGGTGACATATTGTTATGGTCCCCGTTTTTTGTTTTTTTAACAGAGGTTGGTGGTTGGTGATCAAAAAAAAGTTAAAAGGTCTTTTTTCAACTTGCTTCAAATTGACCAAATGTTTTTTTTAAATCATCTACAATTTATCAGAAGTTCAAATCTGACTTTAGATTTGAGATTTGACCTTCTCAAGGTAAAACAAGGTCAAAAAGGTATTTTTTCAACTTGCTTCAATTTGACCAATTTTTTTCAAAATCATCTAGAAGTTCTCAAAAGTTCAAATTCGACTATAAATTTGACCTTAAATGACATTCTCAAGGTCGAAAAAGAGATTTGACTATCAATGAACTTCTCAAGGTCAAAAGGGTCTTTTTCAACTTGCTTCAAATTGATCAATTTTTTTTTCCAAATCATCTACAAATTCTCAGAAGTTCAAATCTGACTTAGATTGAAGTAATAATATTATGAGCAGCAAGGTGGTGTTATTTTGTCATGTTAATGCCTTGTGAAACTGTACGATACCGATACAATATGATACCTTATGGTACTGTAGACTAAAACAGTACGGTACCGTGAACACTACACTGAACCATACAAGCACAGAAATGACTGTCATTGTCCATATACTATTAGGCACATGTAGTATAGGGACTGTTGACTTGTAATACGATCGATTTATAATATTTAACTATATATCAAAAAAATTCATTCATATCAGACCAAAAACAGTCTAAAAAGGCCAAATTATGCCCAAAAAGGCCTTACGAAATTGTTGACCCCCCCCCCCGATCCGCCACTAAGACTTTACATATTTCCCCTAGTTGTGTGCCTGTTTAATAAGCGATTCAATTGTAAAATTTCTCTCAAAAAATAAATCTCCCAGTTATGTTGATTTTTCTAGCAAAATCAGTTACTCGCCCCGTCCGTTCATTTGTTCCAATCACCGGGCATGGGGTGTTAGAGTCATAATTTTTTCACTACAACATGAATTTTTAGGAAAGCCAGAGAGTTTCAGATCCAAAGACGAACTACGAAAAAGTTATCAAAACTAACTATAGACACAATTAACAGATCTCCTTTGTTGATGACTGATTGGTCTTAAGTTGACTTTTTAAATAAATGTACTGTTAACTTAAATATTCAAACTTTCTGAAACCGTCAATTAAGCCTCGCTCACATCTGCTCTACGACTGCCGTAGTTTCACGAAATTGATGTAGAAATTCATTTTACTTCCTACATTCCTATATTTTATGCTGCATAGTGTCGATTTTGGCAAGCTACAGCCGCCGTATGGTTGCCGTAGATCAAATGTGACCAAGGCATTACATGTAATAAGGTTTATACTCATGTTATTTATATTTATTATATGGTTGCGTTCAAATGTGTTTATGCATCTTTTATTTCCCAATATCCACCATTGAAGTATTGCTCTGATACATCGAATGGCGCGCCTTGAAACTTGAGTACTAGTATTTTGTTCAAAATTGGATTTAAGTTTTGAACAAAATACTCAATCGGCCGGGTGCGTGTAATTATTACTAGTATTGTTCTCATCAATTACTCCAAATAGATAGATAGAATATACTTCAAACTAGAAATTACTAAAGGGTAAGCTTATATTGTTTCCACCATATGTATAGGGTGATCATAAAGTAAGATCAAAAGTGCTCTAACTTTTGTGAATATCAATGAATCTGGCTCATTTTCTCACAAACTGTTGATCTACTAATTATACATACATAGAATAAATGTCAACATGTTACATGTAATATTGGGCGTTCTATGGTAACCTTGGCAATCCATGTGGAGAGTTCCGGAGCAGTCAAAAGAGAAAGAAAATGGTGTAATGTTTTCTTTCTTAATGGTTTTATACTTTGGGAATACCACAATATTTTGTTAGATTCAATGCATTCTTTTATATCATTATTTTCTCAGATGTTCATTTTATGTGTTCTATAAAGGATGAGTCCGGATATATGCCCTTTTGGTCCCTCAGTTAAATGTATGTGAAATATGGTTTTTATTACTGTCCTAGTTATATTTGATAAGGATATTTACTTTTTCATGAGTTTTGATGCATAATTAACCCCCTGCTGAGAGTCAGAATAAGTATCCTAACAAAAAACAATTAGTCATTATCAAAGAAAAAAACACCAATGGCAACATGTATGACATACAAAGAAGAAATAACTTGAGACCCATGAAGAATTGAGAAGAAAATCATATTTTTGAAATACATTTAAGGATTAAATTTTTTTTCAAATTTTTGAATTTCTCGCCAGTTTAATTTGAAGGGGTAAAAACAAGATGGCTGCCATTTGACAGTCTATGGCATGGGCCATTTTCCACCGCTGTTTGGGTCAGTTGTAAAATGGCCCGACCTAGTAACCTACATGCATATTTCTCTGTAATTAATCAAAATTAAGGATTAAAGATGGCATGATACTCTAGCTCATTTGAATATCTACACACCAGTGTCAGTCTCTTTTTTGACGTCCACATCAATATGGAGCAATAGCAATGTGAAGAATTTGGGAAGTTTTCTTAATTATCTCAATTTCTCATGAACCATTTTTTTTAAAAATAGGATCATAACGTAATTTAATATCATGGCATCAAGTTTATTTGATTCATTTGAGTGACCAAAAAGCTTAAAGGGTAAAAAATCAAAGTGATCACGGCCTTGTGATTTCCAATATTTGATAAAACATTTTTTCACCCAGACTAGGTCATGACCTACTGGGCCATAATCCAACCCCATTAAAGATTGATATGTACAAATTACTTAATCAAGTGCCATTAATCTGCTAGTATAGTGTCTTTGTGGTACAGAAGATGTTAGCATTTAATATTGAGCAGTTCACATACTTTGTAATATTAAAATTGTTGAAATAAGACTAAAAGATTTGCAGTTCTGATATGTCAGTTCACAAGTTCTAGTTAAACAAGGGGGGGGGGGGTATAGCATTCTACTACAAGAGTACAATGTGACACAGTTTACAAGATCTATAGAACGATATTAACTATTTTTAACCTCACACCTTTCCTACTATTTTTCCATCTGATAAAAGTGCTTTGGCATTTAATCATTTTTATAAGAACATATGAGGATATGCTGAATTTAATTGTGATAAGACAATATGTGTGAAATTGAATAAAGCAGTAAATACGAATTATTACGTTTTGACATATTTCATATGTAGAAACTGCTATGTTTATTATTTTTATCCCTCTATTATTCATTTACAATTGACTTGTTTCTTTCACCATTATTCAATGTGATTTTATTTCAAAAATAACGTTGTCTAATAATAATAATATGTTGTCTTCTGATAGCTTGTATTCTAAAGCTTTGTTTTTCTAAAAATAATTATACTTGTACATACAGAATGCATAGTTCATTTACTCAATGGACTTTTATATTGAAGGTGTTGAAATTCAACATCATAATATATTAGTAAACATAAGCCGAGTATGTGCTAAAACAATAGTCACTAAAACTAAAATAGAAAGATTTTTAATGGATCTATTGGTGTTATATACTGTACGATCAACATAACAGATAATAATCAACTTATCCATTCTCATTTACTTTGCACAAGTCGATCGGTGATGAGCAAGAAAAGGCTGCAAACAATCATATTCAACAAGAAATACAGATTTGTTTGACTTCCAACCCCATCACAATGGTAGATGCACTATATGTATACAGTAAAACCTGTATATCTGAACACCTGGCTAATCCGAACACCTTCCAATTTGAACACTTTTTTTCGGTCCCATTTTTTCCTCCCATTGACTCCCATGTTAAAAAACCTTGAAATCTGAACACCTCCTAATCTGAACAGTGAACAACCAGATTTGAAAAACTGACCTGTCTAATCTGAACATTTTATCAGAAATCAAATGTCTGGACATTTCAATAATAGCCACATATTGAGTCAATGTTATAGTTCTTATTATCTTTACATATGCAATGTAATCAAAGAACCAATATTGTCCTAAGTAACTTATTTAAGTCTCAATGACATCCCTAATAGTGGAAAACAACAGGAAATGTGTGAATACGGGAGTTAATTGGTTTATCATATGAGAAAAGAACTGAATGTTTTATGTTTGGATTAAGAGAAAGGTGTGAATCAAGAAGATAATTGGTTTATCCTTATTTTAAATTAACTGGATGTTTTTGATTTGGATTATGAACAAGTCTTAACTGTTTTATATCCCATGGGTCTGTTATGATAGCTAGGATTCAATCAGTAAATGTTTTATAATCACAAAGACAACACAGACACATTTGCAAACAAGATTATAATTGTTTTATCATTATTAGAAATTACCTGAATGTTTTTGATTTGGATTAAGAGAAAGGTGAGAATCTGGGAGATAATTGGTTTATCCTTATTTTAAATTGACTGGATGTTTTTGATTTGGATTATGAACAAGTCTTAACTGTTTTATGTCCCATGGGTCTGTTATGATAGCTAGGATTCAATCAGTAAATGTTTTATAATCACAAAGACAACACAGACACATTTGCAGACAAGATTATATCATGAGAAAGAGAAAAAATTCAACTTCGTACTATCCTATCACTAAAATGCCTCCTAAAAAGTCACATCTGACATCCTGAATGCCCTTGATACTTTGAAAGATTATGCATCATCTCGAATGAGCACTCATGAAAAATTCTTTAAAATTGAAAATATTGCTCATGCTAAAAGTGCCAAGAAACAATAATAAACTCATCAACAACATGTATTGTTTTCTGACTAAGTATTAAGTGTTCAATATAGTGGACTGAACAATGAAAATCCCCCCCCCCCCCGACCAACAATATCCTCGAAATTTGAACACCTGCCAATTTGAACGCTTTTGGCTGGTCCCATGGGTGTTCGGATTAGACAGGTTTTACTGTACTTCAAAAAGAAAGGCAATGTACAAATGTTTAGATTCCATAGAACTAAAAACCCCGATAGATGCTTATTTGTTGCCTCAATATAATCACAAAAACAGAG